AATGTGTGCGCCCATGAGGAGAACTTTGAACTTCGGACTTGAAGTTCAAGTTCTGAGGACGGCCGGCATCCCGGCCGTATATGTAACTACTGGGTGGTGGTTTAAAGAATGTCACAGTCTAGAATAGGTAGAGCTGTGTGGCAGACAGTGGAGCTTCAAGTTGGGACCAGGTGGGTTAGGGAAAGCCGGTTAACCGCTAATCCGGTCTTCAAGCAATCCTGATGTCACGGTAGGATCCGATTGACGGTCAGGAACCACGGGACACGATGGTCAGCCGTACACAACCGACCTCTGCCTCATTCAATTTCAAATGCAAGGCTTGCAAGCTGCAACCTAGGTTGACCTTGGACTCGGAGGCATCAGACTTCTGCAGCAAAAACCTTGCCGCTGCGTAGCTTCAAGCTCCAGCGCCTCATGAGTCATGGATGAGGCAGGTGCCAAGGAGAACCAGGACAGTCACTCCTATACTATAGGGGCTATAGGGAGTCTGGTGTCGGCAGCTGCTGGAAGTTTGTTTTGTAGTCGATCAGGCTAGGTGTGATGGTGCTGGCGTAGCTTTATAGGTACTCAACTTATTAGAAGGAAAGTAAGTTTAACTTAGTTCCCAAATTGTGCTTCCAGATCAGGCAGGGACCGCCATTTACAATGGAGTGCAGGTCTTGATGGAAAGGGCCTTGAATAGCTGTAACAGATTGTGCTGGCTAGAGTCAGCCACTGTTGATCAGCCAAAGCTTTTCTTCTTCAGTGAAGAAGAAGCCTTAGGCCAAGAAAACGCTCGTGTTTGAAAAGGAATTTGGCGCATCTCTGAGCAAGGCTAAATGGAAAAAATATCAGTCTCCATCCGGGTTCGTCCTCTAAACAAGCAAGAGATTGCAAAAGGAACCCCTTGGATTGTGGATGCAAACAGCCTTCATCTCTGCAATGAAAGACAGCAGCCCATCGCTGGGCAGGCTTACACATTTGGTAAGTTCTCGCTTGCTGAGAAAAAGCACGAGTATGATTGTTTGCTTGTTGTCATCGTGGGGCATCTGAACACAATAGCATCTTAGCATCCCGAGCTGTGTCCATGTCTCTATGCAATCTGTCTCATCTGACAGCACCTTTACTTTGTAACAGATCATGTCTTTAATGCTGGGATGCCCACACAGAGCATATACCAGGCTGTTACTGAAGACATCATCCAGTCAACTGTCAGTGGGTTCAACGGTGAGTCCTTTATGGATGTCGTAGGCCGCTGTAAAGTAGATGGTAGAAGAATATGTGCTCTCAAGTAATAGGGTGCGTTCAACGCCATTCACATCTTGCATCACTGATCTTTTTCCGCTGCGGTATCTGACAGTTCCTTTTGTTGTAGGCACGGTGTTTGCTTACGGGCAGACAAGCAGCGGTAAAACCCACACGATGAGAGGGACTCCTACTGAGCCAGGAATCATTCCGCTCGCCATCCACCATGTGTTTCAAATGATTGAACAGGTAAGCATGCCTTCCTTCCAATCAGGCTGGCTGCATGTTGAGAAGCATTTTGGCCTTGAGCAAGTTCAACGTTCAGGTGGGAGAACCTTCCAATCAGGCTGGCTGCATGTTGAGAAGCATTTCGGCCTTGAGCAAGTTCAATGTTCAGATGGAAGAAGCATAGTACAGCTTAGGAAGTACGATACAAGCTGACAAGAGCACACGCTGCAAGTGGTCAATGAGTTCTTATTGAAGGGGCAATTGCTGAAAGCTGCGGTCTCTTGCAGACTGTGGACCGGGAGTTTCTTCTGAGAGTCTCATATCTGGAGATCTACAACGAAGAAATCAATGACCTTCTCAACCCAGAAAATCGGAAGCTGCCAGTGCATGAGAACCTTGAGGTGAGTAGCTTCTCCCATGCCAATGCAATCATTTCGTGGACAGGTTGAGATTGAAAACATTCACCTGGAGGTACCGTACTTCAGTTCAGCGAACCACCAAATTTTGTTAGCTTGTTCGTCTTCTCTTGTCTTTTTAAGACAAGTGCAAGCTGCTATTACATCAAACTCAAAGCCATATGGTTGTTCTTGCAGCGTGGCGTGTTCGTTGCCGGACTGGCAGAGGAGATTGTAATGAGTGCAGAGCACGTCTTGGAACTCATGGCCAACGGAGAAGGTGAGAGCAACTCCGTTTTCGCTTGAATCAGTCTGCTACAACGGTAGCATAGTTGGACCATCGTTAGCATTTGTACCTTTCCTCTGCAATTGCAATGCTTTCAATGACTGGCAATCTTCCCCGAAACTTGCAGCGCACCGCCACATTGGTGAGACAAACATGAACCAGGCCAGCAGCAGGTCGCACACCATCTTCCGCATGGTAATCCCTACCTCTCGCCGACTCCCTTTACTCAACCAAGTCCAGCGAAAGATGTTTGCCTCAGCAGCTCTGTTTCCTTGTTCTAGTATTCCTTGATAGTCGTGCCGACTGTCTTGTAACAGCTCTATGCATAGCCATAGTCTTGGCAGCAGCATCGACTGAATTTTGCAAACTTGCAATTTTAGGTCATTGAGAGCCGGGAGAAGCTAGGTGACGACGACTCTTCGATCGAAGAGCACGGCTGCGATGCTGTCCGCGTATCTTCCTTGGTAAGCTGCGAACTTTTTGCCAGCCCTTGAAGTTATTTCAACAAAAGCTTCTATAGAAATGATTAGTACGTCCTTGCTCTTTGGGGTCTTGCACTTTTGGATTTTGCCATGGGGTGTTTTGCAATCATACCGTCTTTGTGGTACAGACCTTGGTAGATTTGGCCGGGTCAGAGAGAGTTGCAAAGACTGGCGCCGAAGGTGCTCGCATGAAGGAGGGGACGCACATCAACAAGAGCCTGATGACCCTGGGGACCGTCATCAACAAGCTGGCAGAGGGTGTGGAGAAGAACGGGTAAGGATGAGTCTAACTTTCTTGAGACGAAGCAGCAACCGACAGCAATCCTCACAGGAGTGCTGCATTATACAATCTGCAAAAGTGGTGTCGATTACCAAACAATTGAACTCGTATGCAACTGGACGGTCTGTGTGTATTGTGCGTTGTACTTGTTCATCTGATGTCAGGCTTCCAGTATCTTCCGACAGTCCTGCCCTTTTGCCTGTCAATCAAGGTTTCATGCTCTGTGTTGGCCCATTTCATTGAGTTTCTGGCTTGGATTTTAATTACTCTCGGTTTTGCCTCGTTGTCCTGATCCCTGCAGAGGACACATTCCTTATCGTGACAGCAAGCTTACCAGGATCTTGCAGCCAGCACTTGGTGGAAACGCCAAGACAGCAATCATCTGTAACGTGACACCATCTTTAGTGAGCACCTCTTCCATGTGCTCTGACGTAGCTGCTTCATGCTTCCATACCAGTTTTGAACGCTTGTACCAGTATTTCGTATACCGCTCTGAAGCACGTCCGGCCTGCTTCGGATATGCAGTGCATCAACGCGAGACTCCTCTGCCCCATCGTTCGCTTGAAGGCTCAAAAGCTCAGAGTCAACCGTTTGAGGACCTTCGACGATCTGGGGCCGGCTTTTCGGTAATAAGCCCATGGCTCTCCGCGCAGATCCATGTTGAGGAGACGAGGGGAACGCTGCAGTTTGCTGGCCGCGCAAAGAGGATTGAAAATTGCGCTCAGGTTAATGAGGTGAGGATCTGCCGCTTGTGAATGAAGAGCATACCATACAGCAGGTTGAGCTCACGACAGAGCATGCAGAACACGAGATGATTTTGCAGCTTCAGGTTTCTCGCACAACTTCGTATTCTCTTGGACCTCCTGTCGAAACTCTTGGCACAGCCCTTTCCTTTCGACGTCGGCCGCTTTGAGCAAGTGTACGAAGTCCACATTGCCGCTCAATTTGGCGTTGCAGATCGTGACCGAAGCAGCTCTTCTCAAGCGCCAGCAGCGGGAGATCGAGGAGCTGCGGCGCAAGCTGCAGGGAAACAACTCCGAGATCATGGAGGGAGAGATCGCCAAGATGCGGAACGCCATGCTCGCTGTGAGTTCTCTCAGCACGTTCACACGTGCATGGTTTCACTGGCAACCCTCTGCAAATAAGCACACTCTTTCAAGCAAGACACTTAATTTCGCTTGTAGAAAAGCAGATCACATCCTGATTGTTGACGGATTTATGCGAAGTTGCCAGTCCAAGGATACGTGCAACAGATTTTCAAGAGAAGCACCGTCTCTGCTTTGCCGTTCAAAATGCTGTCCTGACCCTTCACCTCCACTTGTTCGCAGATTGAGCTAGAAAAGGAGCGGCTGGCTTTGGAACTTGAGGAGAGGCGGGCCGAAGAGCAGCAGCGCCGAGCGGAGACAGAGAAGCGGATCCGCGAGCAGCAGAAGAAGATTGACTCGCTAAGCCACATGGTGATCAACTCCGTCGTGGACGACACCCAGGAAAAGAAAAGCCGCAAGGTGGGGCTTCGGAGGCGGTGGTGAATCTCCGTAAAAAGCAAATCTTCGCTTGTCTAATCCTGAACGCTTCAATGAACACCTTCAACGGTTTGGGGCCTGTTTGTTGCTGACGTCGGGATTTAAGCTTCTTCCCAAACACAAGCCACAGACCTCAAACTGACAAGGGCCTTATCTGGTTCACTCTTCAGGGCAACCGCCGTGCTACGTGGGTGCCTCGCATCCAGCCTTCTGTCTTTACCGACTTAGCCCGTGACCGGCCCCCACTTCGAGAGGTCCCCCAGGGGCTCTTCGGTTCAGGGCTGCCCCTCCCGCCACGGTTGGGTAGGTCGCGAGACCTTCCCCCGGCCTTCGACCGCCTTGGAGAAGAGTCCCCGGAGCCTTCCACCGGGCGACCTTTCAGGATCTCCGAGGAGAACTCTTTGAGCGACGTAGGGGAGGAATCTCCGGGCGGTGTTTCACTAGGCAGGAGGTCAAGCGGCAGCCGGGCGGACAGCGGCAGGGCGTCCATTGAGAGCGCTGCAGCAGAGCCGACGGTGAGTGCACTATTCTGAGTCGGGCGTTCGAAGCAGGAATTGAAACGACACAACAAGAGCGCAACTCTGGCAGATGTAAGGACGAGATCAGCACATTGATCTGTTATGTGTGAAGGATCCCGCTTATGTCGACATTCAATAATCTTCTTCAACCGCACGTGCTTCGGCACGTGGTTCCCCTGTAGCCGAATCACTTAGTAAAGAAAATTTTAAAGTTTGGCAGCGGGTCCTTGACAGAAAAGCAAGCGCAGCAAGTACCAAGAGTTTTTGGGTTTAAGCCGCATACTAATTGACCTCTCTTTGCTGTGCTGACGCGCCCTGATGTTGGCCTGCAGGCTGAGCAACAGCTGGCGGATCTTCAGCAGAAGTACAAGGAGCTAGAGGAGCGCGTGCAAAAGGAGGATCAGCAGAATGCCGCCTCGGACCAGCTAGACACCGCAGGGCTTCCCGAGCTGGGGTCGATCCTGGAGGAGGACGAGCTGCCGATGGGTGTGATGGACCGGCGGGGCCGCAGCCTGGGCGGCGCCGACGGGCATGCATCCGTCAAAGCGCTTAAGGCGCAGGTGAACACGTCACTATCGTCCAGTACTTCTCTCCTGACGACGATTAAACGTCGTCATTCGTCCAGCTTTGAAGATGAGCCGGAAGCACGGCGTAAAGCTCTAGCTTTTGAAAACGGGAAGTGTAGCTGATTCGGGAACTTATCAAGAGTGATGAGTGTCCCGGCGTTTTGTCCCTTATCTGTTTGATTGCAGGCATTGTAATGTGCGCTGAATTCAAGCAAGCTTTTTCCTGCTCCGAGCACTGCACTTCGTACGCTGCTGCGGACGGGGTTCACAAGGCATAGCATTTTGTCCATCAGCATCTGCCTGTGAGCCTGCCTTGATTTTGGGATTAACGAGTTGGTCTTTATGATAGGTGCAGCTGAAGCAGCTGGAGATGGAGAAGGTGTTCATGCAGCGGGAGCTGGACGACCTCACCGCACAGACCAAGATGCGCGCCAGCATCAGCAAGGAGGAACTAGCAGCGGTGAGCTATCAAACCAAGTTTTCCTGAAGTCACAAAGATTCAGCTCCGAAGAAGCGGGTGCGCAAAAGCACGAAAGCATGGCCAGAACAGACGAACAGGGGACATAAGTGTGGTGCTTCACTTCTAGAATTCTGCGGGTATAAACGACTTAGCTTGGCAAACACTTTTCCGGATCCCCGATACCCGGTAGCCAAGCCCCTTTCACGTTTGACTGTGTCTGTCTTAAGCTATCCGTCCTTCGTTTCCCCTGACTCAGAGACGCTGATAGCTGATTTGTGAGATCACGCCTGAAACCACCAATCCTCGGTCCGTTTCGGTTACTTAATCTGCGGGAGGACACCCTAAAATCAGAAGCTTCTCCTCCTTGTCCACTTTATCAGATAGCTTCAGCACTGTCATATGATCGCCACGGCCAAGCACGTTCCCTTCATGCCGACGCTGCTCCGTGTGCTTGTCAGGTGTACGAGGAATTGGACGAGGCCCGCCGCGCCCTTGCCGACTCTCCGACTTCCCTGGTCCCGTCCGGAGCCTCCCTTGACACGCTCGCTCTGCAGTCCCGCCTGTCGGAGGCCTTGCGCGAGAAGGAGGCTGCGCTCCAGGCGGCACACGAAGCAGAAGAAAGAGCAGTCCAAAGTGCGAGGGTTCAGATACAGGGCCTGGAAGAGCGCCTGGCAGAAGCTTTGCGTGAGAAGGAGGCCGCGGAAAAGGGATACAAGAGCGCTGTGAATTCAGCGAGGGCGCACAACGAAGGCCTGGGGGCCTGCCCGGCGGAGGTTGTGCTAACTACTGAGGAGATGCCGCTGCTGAAAACTCACATTACAGAACTGCAAACGCTGTGCGAAGAGCTGCAGAAGGAACTCGGGCTGGAGAAACGAGCGAGGGAAGAGGCGGAGGCGAGGGCAAGCGAGGTGGAACGGACGAACGCCGAGAACGAAATGGTGGTGGCAGAATTTCGGGAGAAGCTGGATGTGATGTTGGAAGAGAAGAAGGGCTGGGAAGCGGTTAAAACGGAAGAGGAAACATGCAGCGGGGTGCCTTGTGCGACAGATTTTCCGGACAGCGAAGCCGAGCTTGAGCTGGCTGCCAAGACGGAGCAGTTGGCCCAGGCAGAGGTTGCCCTAGCCGAAGCCCGGCAGCTGGTGTCCGAGCTGTTGAACGGGAAGGAGACCGGCGTGGGGTCTGTCGAAGCGACGGCTCTGGAGGCAGAGCTGGGCGAGGCGCGGGTTAAGATTGCGGAGCTGGAGGGCGACCTGGAGGAGGCGGTGCGCGTGCTGGAGGAGGATGACGTCAGGCGCGCGGAGCAGCAGGCGGCGCTGCACAGGGTGGAGGAGGAGCTGGCGCAGGCGCGGGCGGAGCTGGCGGCGAAAGATGACGTCACCTCCGAGGTTGAGGGCCTGAGAGCGGCACTGGCCACACAGAAGGGTGTGGAGGAAGAGCTGACGCAAACGATGAGTGAGCTCGCCGAGAGGGCTAACGTCGCGCCTGAGGTGGAGGGTCCGGGCACCGATGGTCCAGAAGGGATATCCTGCAAGATCGAGTCGTTGGAGGGCGATAAGAATAGGTTGGAGAAGGCCAATGAATCCTTAGCGGCGGAGCTCAAAGACGCGGAGTTGCGCGCAGAGAAAGCAGAGATCGAAAGCAGGACAGTGGCCCAAAGGGCGGAGGACATCACACGGGAGAAGGTTGCGCTGGAAGACAGGATGCGCGTAGTCCAGGACGAAGGGAGCGAAGTCACAACGCAGCGCGAAGAGCTCGCACGGGCACAGAAGGAACAGGAGCAGATTAAGAGCGCCGCTGAAACGGCCGCGGCTGAGCTCGAGAAGCAGCTGGGCTTGCTGAAGGAGGCCGGCGAGGAGAGGAAGGGCCTGCTAAAGACAATTGCAGCTATGGAGGGTGAGCGGCAGAAGATGGACCAACTCATGCAGAGCATGGGGGAGGAGAAGGACGCTCTATTGCGGTCAGCGGAGTTGGCGGTGCGTGACAAAGAGGTGCGGGTGGCGGAACTGGAAACGGAACGGGCCCGGCTTGAAGGGGTGCTGAGAGAGCTGGAGGGGGAAAGGGACGCGCTGCAGAGGGCTGTGGAGGAGAGCCAGCGACAGGCGGAGACTGTCGAGCGAGAAAAGGAGGAGGCGGCAAGTGGGCTGAGAGCGCAGCTCCAGCAGGTAAGGGAGGAATGTACGGACCAAACAGTGAGAAAACAGGCAGTCTTCCCAGATCCTATTAGCGTAACTATTTTAAGGCTACCATTCGGCCTGAAAGGGCGAAAGGGGCTCGTTCCGTAAACCTCGCAATCTGATTTCCTGCAGCAATCTTCTGCCCGCTGTTTCGTTGGTTGCGAACATGCAGATGTTGTGATTATGACGAACGAAAAGGCCGAGATGATTAGAAGAGAGCCGCTGCCATCTTTCCTTTATAAGCCGAGGCGCCAATCTTTGACTGGCGATGGTTCTGTCGTCTCCAGAAGGAACTTACTTATTACCTTAGGTATTCGAGAGCACTCTCCAACTTTTTTCTGTGACAGGTGCAAGAAGAGCTGGGTGCCGTGCTTAACGACAAGACTGCGCTTATCGAGCGTGTCGCTCTTCTGACTGAGGCGCGTGAGACGCTGGAGGCGAACCTCCGACAACAAGAGAGCAGCAAGGAGAGCTTGGAGAAGCAGCTCGCTGGATCCGAGGAGCAGCTTCAGGTACTTTCACAAAGTTTTCGTCTTAGCTTCTCGATCGGCATGGTACAAGATATGACATCATAATCTGAAGCTGAACTTTTAGAGTCGAGAACTTGAGTCGAATTTCGCATGGCGTCTGAAGATTCTGGAGCGACCCAAGCTCGACAATTGATGGAACAATACGTGCTCAGGAAATCAACTTCGTCGCATCCATTTTATGTGAACCTGGGGCTGGAATGGTGGACAGACCTAACGGACAGGGCGGACCAGGCAACGTGCACCTCAAGATGTGACGATCTCTTGACAAATCTCGTTCTGTTTGTGTAAGGCACACGTCAACCGCCTTCGCTTGATATCGGTTGGGATGTTCTGTTTGTGCAGAGCCTCGTCGCAGAGAAGGCCGCGCTTGAAGAGGCCAAGTCTCAGTTGGAGACCACTGTCGCCAGCCTGGAGGCCCGCGTATCTGCCCTCGACTCCGACTGCTCCAACTCCAGGGCCGCCCTTCAGACTTTCGCTGAACAGTGCGCGCGCGTGACCGCCGCCCTCAGCGAGCTGCAGCACACCCTCGAAACCTCCAAGCAGAAGCTGGCTGCGGTTGAGACGCAGAAAGCAGAGCTGGAAGCGCACCTGGCGGAGACGGAGGCGGCCTTAGCTACCGCGTCCCAACAAAGAGGCGAAGCCCTGCAGCGGGTCGCGGAGCTCGAGTCGCAGCTGGAGACGCAGAGGAGCGTGGCCTCGGAGGCGTTCAAGGAGCTGGAGGCGACCAAGCAGGTGCGGACCGCTTCTGCTCTGCAACTCTGGCTGGGAAGCTCCCAATGGAGTGACTGAACGTAGGCGTTGCGGTTGGATCATCCCGGCGCGATCCAGACGTGGCAAGGGACGCATTTCCGGGCAAGCTTTTGAAATCGAAGTACCTTGTAGAAGCAACACAATGCTCTTCCCACAAATGTTCTCCACGTCGCAGCTGCTTCGTGGTCACACATTCCGACATACATCGCACTCGTCACGGTATCCATGACAGCTAATCTGCTTGTCGTAAGAAAGCCGACCCGTAAACGGGAAAGCGGCATCCTAACCGAATTTTAGTGGTCGGAGTCCCCGTTTGGTCTCTCCTCATACTGTCCACAAAGCTCGTCCTGTCTATTCGAGTTTATTTTGGCATCTCCACCCGTACTTTTTGCTGTGGCGCAGGCGCAGCACAAGGAGGTGGCTGCCCTGCGCGCGGACCTGGCGGCGCTGCGCAAGGAGGTGGCGCACTGCAAAGCGGAGCCGGCGGCGCTGGGCAAGCAGCGGGACGCGCTGCAGAAGGAGCTGGAGAAGCTGCGGGCCAAGATGAAGGACACCGAGGCCAAGCTCAAGACGGCGCTCCAGGACAAGAACCAACTGCAGGTCAGGCACCCGAAGGACCGAACACGCTTGCAAATAATAGATGACGGGAGCATTAAGCCCTAAACATGCTACGAAAAGCATGTAACACGCTTCGCTGTTCTGCCTACTTGGTGTTGTCAATCCTATCCAAGCTGGATTTGTAGAGTCTCTTTACTGGAGCCCACATGGATGACGAGAATGCATTCCCCTGTCCTTCACCTTCTCCTCGATCGGCTGACGCGTACTGGAAAAGGCACTTCCAGTTTCCAGCCGTTGATTGCTCTGAATCCTGCCTTCTTGTTTCAGGCCGAGAAGAGCGCCCAGGAGCGCGATCTGAAGCGGCTCCGCGGGCAGGCGGGACAGATCGAGAGCAACGCGTCTAAGCGCGAGTCAATGGCATTCAAGGCGCGCGACAGCCTGGCGGTGGGGCTCAAGAGTACGAAGAGCGAGTTGTCGTCCGTGCAAGTGGCGCTGCAGAACAAGAGCGTGGAGCTGGAGAAGACCGCCTTCGAGTTGCAGATGCTGCAGGTGGGCAAATGCCTGTGTAGCGAGAGGCGCGTGCTGTCTTCCATCAGAACGTGGGCGGTTCAGGAATCTTCAGGTCAAAACTCGATGTGTGATGGACCGAATGACCTCTTGCGTCTGACGTGGACTCACGCACAGTATCCTCTTTTCTTCAGTTGTTGGCCTTGGTCTCGAAGCTGGCGGCGTCGGACAGCAAGGGAAGCTCCTCGGAAAGCATGTCACCACATGCTTCCTGCCTTTGAGAATTCGTCTTCTTATAAGCTCGTCTCTTTGTGCTCGTGCAGGGTTCTTACAAGAGCCTGGAGGGCAGCGTGTCGGAGCTGGAGGGCGCGCGCGAGTGCCTGACGAGCCGCATCAGCGAGGTGGAGGCGTGCCTCGCGGGCGTGTCCGCCGAGCGCGACCAGCTGGCGGCCGACGCGGAGGCGCAATCGCGCGAGCTCGTGCTCGCGAGCCAGGAGGCGGAGAAGATCGCGCAAGAGCTGGCCTCGCTGGCAGCAGAGCATTCCGCGCTGGTGGACCAGTTGCGGGCAGCGGAAGAGGGGGCCAGGCGGGCGGAAGAGCTGGCGGCGGAACTGGAGAAGGTCAAGGCGGAGCAGGCACAGGTAGGGAAAGCCTTCTCTCACTGGACGATGAGACAACGTTAGTGCAGGGCGGACGCAAATGCGTAGAGTGCAGCTGGCTGCTAGTGAACGGCAGCAAGCAGATGCTTAAGGAACGGGACATGGTATGGAACTATAAGCAGACGGGAAGATTGCAGAAACTGACGCCCGCACCAGACAGAACAGTTTCTTTGAGTAACGCTCAGGCAAAGTTTTGACATTGCTAGCAAATTCCGGTGCAGGTCATGGAGCAGATGACGGAGTCGCACTTCCAGTTTGAGGAGGACCGAGCGGCCTGGGAAGCGAAAGCCGCGGAGGTGCGATCCCAGTCCGTTCTGTCGCCGCACCATAACTCGCTGCCGGTCTATGCTCTCGGCTCCTTCAGAGTCTCATCGCACTAGCGAATGGTCTTGGTCTGACACGTTCGTCCAATCTTGACGGGGTCGCACGAATGGTCTTGGTCTGACTCGTTCGTGCTATCGTGACGGGGTCGCACAGCGCAAGGCCATGCCATCCTTTGAAAGTTACTTGTAAGAAACTGTTTCAAAGCGATGCTGTGGATGACTGTTCCAGGCTGCCAAAGACAAGGCGGAATGGGAAGAGCAACTGGCGAGCTTGATTCAACTCCGGACAGAGATGGAGGCCAGGATCACGGGTCTCGACCAAGAGCGGATGCAGGTGTGCTATCTCAGGGCGTGGACCAGCTCCACATTTCTGTCGGTTAGAACTTGTCCATGATTTTGGGCCAAAAATAGCACGAGGATAATAGATTACGCCGACTTATATAATGCTGACACTTTGCGGCGTCCCTTGATCTCTATCGGAGTTGGCCGACGTGCTAGCACGGATGCATATGAGGAATGAACCTTCACCTTCGTCGGCGTCGAAATCGCATCGATGCGCGGGTTGCTCAAATACCACCTTCTGCCTATTTATGTTTGCGTATCTCTGATGCCCAGTTGAAGCAGCAGGCAAACGAAGCGGACTCCGACAAAGCGGCACTCCTTGAACAAGTAGGCGCACTGGAGCAGAAGACAATCGAGGAGCGGAAAGAGTACATCGAGAAAAAGGTGAGGCACCTCAGCTATTTCGACCAGATAGGCCCCTCCAGCAAGGAGGTCTTGAAGCCGGAAAAGGCAAACCCGACCAGGCTTTGATAGCATTTTGCTTCTTACTTGGATGTCACCACTTTCAAAAATCAGTCCAAGTCTGCGACTTGGGATGAGCACACAGTTTCTAGCTACATTGAAGTCGTTGGCCATTTCCGGGTTTTGGCTGTGGAGAGCTTCTTCAGGTACTGAAGCTCCGCCCTATATTTTTGTGTTTGCTAGCTCGCATGAGGAGCGGCTCCTGACAGTTGTCCCTCGTATGTTTGGCAGGACCAGGAGGTGGGCCGTTTGGTGGAGGAGGTGGCTGCCCTAAAGCTGCAGTGTGAGGAGCTGGAGCACCAGCTGGCGCTCGCGGACAAGAACCTCGAGGACAGCAACACCACCAGGCAAGGCAACAAAATAAGAAATACGAACAACTCGTGCGTGCTGCGGTTGCTTGTTGAGGACCAGGTGGTTGTTTGATCCGGAAATGTTCCAACCCGGCGGGGCTGCCTTTTGTCGCTGAAAATTCGGCGTTAGTGACCCGTCGGCGTTGAGTCTCTGGCGATCGCAAAGCTCATCGTGCGGACCGAGATAAGCTGCCGTCGGTGACGTAATGCAGAGGAAACATGGCTTCTCGCTACTTCATCTCGTACCAGCAGCTGTCCCGGTTTGAAGCTTTTGCCGTTTAATCGTTCGACCCGACGAGCCATTTGTGCATATGCTGCAGTTCCGCACTGGAGACGGCCGCCCGGCAGCGCGAGGAGCGGCTGCAGGAGATGTTGCAGCAGAGCATGACGCAGATTGCGGAGGCGCGCCAGGAACTCGCCGACAGAGACGACAAGGTCGCCCAGGTGACGCCCGCACCCAGCTCACGAGTCCTTTTCTTCCCCTGGTCCATCTGCATAAGTGTACCGGGGACTCGTTCCTTCAAAACCGCATCCGTTCAAGTGCCCGCTGCACCTTCTATCCCGAAACTGTTTGAGCAGACTACTAATCCCAATACTTCGATCTGGAGGTTGTTGAGCAAGATGTGGTCGGATTTTGAGCGGGTCTTCTGGACGTGGTTTTGCACGAACCCGGCGTGAACTTTGAAAGGACAGGAAATCTAATCGAAGAAAGCCATTACTAACAATCCATTTCGGCTAGAAGGTGCTCTTGAACGTCCGCCCTGTTTTGCCACTGGCAGCTGCAAGCGGCGAGCCTGCGGATGGATGTGCTCCTGGACAACGCCAACGGCAAGCTGCAGATGGCGGAAGATCGCGCCACGGCCGCAGAGGAGCACGTGGAGCGGGTGCGCGAGCAGCTAGCGCGCTTCAAGGCCAGCGCAGCGCAGCGGGAGAAAGAGATCCAGGACTCAGCTGCAGAGGACAGAGACGAGGCGGAGCGGCTGTGGCAGGAGAAGGTCCAAGCGGCGGAGAAGGTAAGAACAACCTGCGTTCAAGATGACTGGTGTCGATGCGCATTTTGTCACGTGGTGTTGGCCGAGAAACAACAACAAACAACAGAAATAGATTCTTCTGTTGTGACGATAGGAGCGTAACTGCAGGTTTCTGGTCGGGTATCACGCATCAGTAGAAGCTTGGGTGGTGCTAAACTTTGAAGTCTCTGATAGGTTCGTGGGAGAGAAACGTACTAGTGCTTTTAAAAAGCTCTGCTCTTCGAAACGACTTTACAAAGTGGTCTCGTAGGTTCTGCTCTATGCACTTGGGCGACTTCTGACTAGCTGCATTCGTTTTGCAGGCTTGGCAAGCCCAGCTGGCCCAGCGGTCAGCCATTGTGGAACAGCTGCAGCAGCAACTGGCAGCGGCCAAGGACGAGAATGAATCCATGCGCGCTGTCCTGAACGACCTCAGGTGCGTGCTTTCTGTTTCAAATCCGGGGAAGGAGAGGATAAAATGTCTCTGCTTGGATGACTCGTGCGAATACAACGTTGTCATGAGAGCTGTAGTGTTCATCTTCATCAAAGCCGTACTGGCCTGTCAGTTTCAACTTCGTACCTGTCTGCTTACGCCTGTTCTTTCTTCCAGGGCGCGGCTGGAAATCGAAGAGGAACGGCGAAAGGCGGCCGAGCGCGACGTGGAAGCATTGGCCCCGTCTCAGGTGGGGCCCTCATTGCTACGCTGTAGACCGCCATCAAGTATGCGGTGTCTGGCTCAAATCGACGCTCTGCTCATTGTTTCCCTGTTCGTACCTGCAATGCAGTTGCCAGCTGCTTAGATAGTGACACCCACATCCACACGTTCGAAAATTCTCCTCGTCTGTCAATTCTTTTTTGACGCGACCCCAAATCTCGTCAGAGTTGTATTGTGTAAACTTTGTGCTCGCGTTGACACTGCGATGCCTGGAAGCGTTGTCAGGCCGTGGGGTTGACACGCTCTACTTCCGGCCTCCGTGGTTGCAGGGGGCCGCTGAGCGAGTCGCGCAGTTGGAGGAGGAGGTGGGTCACCTTCAGGCGGAGTGCCTCGCGCTCAAGCAGGAGGCGCAAGGGAGCCCCTCCCAGGGCGCAGACTCCGACCAGGTGAAGGACCTCTCCACCCGAAGACCTGTTAGGAACGTCGGGTCAATGCGCGCATTTCGACAGGTGCTACAACTCTAGCCTTTGTCGGCGCTCGGATATGCACTTGACGTCCGCTACGTGGTTGCTATGGCAGAGTCTCTGGCGTACGTCGTTTGCAGTGAGTAGCCCGGTAAGGAAGACATTATGAAAGAAAGATGAGTTTTTTCTCTAAGAGAGTGATGCGCCGTATTACAGGCCGTCCAGATGGAGGGCCAGCTGCTGGAGGTGACGGAGCAGAACCGGCTGTTGCAGAAGAAGCTGCGCAAGGCGGAGGACATGCTTGAGCGCTCCAAGGTGAGACACCGGCATTGGCGGTCCCCTAAACTGATTATTATACTTCGCTCTCCTTTCAGGCTTTGTGCTGTTGCCAATTCTGCGAAAACAGAGCAGACGGCCACGCCCTCCATCTCGGCGACAAGAGAAGGTTTAAATGCAAGGTCGAGACTGGTGCATTCTGATCAAGGTGCCAAGTGTGTTTTATAGGCCTGGAAGGAGGAGGTCCGGCGGCAACGAGAGGACGAGGCGAAGGCCAAAGCGGAGCTTGCAAGGCTGCAGGTGAGGTCACCTTCCAGGATATATACAAATCGCTCGCTTTTGGGAGCCCCGCAGGAGAGATATGCCTGATCAATCTTGGTCCAAGGTGTTTCAAAGACACTGTGTCCAGCAATCTGGATATACAGGAGTCTGCAGAGCTTGTCATGTATCATGAAGGATAAGTAACAGCACGACGACAACGGTTGCGGCAGCTACCTCTTTGCCAAGCCCGTTTTTGCAGATCTGCTGACAACTTTTGCGAGGCTCCATGGCTCATTTGGTCTGCAATGTCCTTTCAGGCAAGCGTGGAGCGGCAGGAGGCGGAACGGATGCAGCTTGCGGCGGAGCTGGCCGCTGCTAACGCTCAGAACGCCAAGGTACACCCAGACGCAAACCGAAGCAAAGCTTCTCTGACGCCATCGTCACGATTGGGAAGAAGCAAGCGCTACGTCTCTTCGTATCTGCCGCCTTCAAGGGGGCAATACGAACCCCTGTCAACAAAACGTTTCGACAGCGCTTCTTTCGGACTTTCCGGTGATGATGCCAGGCTCTCATCCAAGCCGTGCAATGTAATGTGACGCAGGCCCCGACTCGGGAGAGGGGTCAGTTCGCCGCGGCAGCGCAGGCGTCCAGCGAGGCAGCCTTCCAAGTGAAGGCCCGGGTGCTGCTGGAGGAGCGAAGGGACTTCAAGGAAAAGGTGGGCATCAATCAATCTTCTGCACCAGCGTCTTGCAGCGACTCCAAGGCGGCTTTGCTTGTCATCAACGGACGCCTCGCGACAGATTGTGCGTTGCAGCAAGTTCCGTGTTCACGGGTACGGCATCCCTGCATCTCCTTTCCGATCACTTGCAACCATCACAGAGCATGTTTACCAACGTGCCAGCAGCGATAGCGGTCTGCAGCTTTGCGGGTGCCTTCTCTGACCCGCGAACGCGACGGCTGATGGCTCTCTTGACATGCACATCCTCCGACATGCAGTGCCACAGCCTCGAGGGCCGCCTGAAGGAGCTCCGGACGCTGGTCGACCGGAACGGCGGAAAGGTTACGGACTTCGACAAGTATGCTGCGCTCAAAGATTTGGAGTATAGGGTCGCCACGGGCAGGGCGGCAGCGGACAAACTCAAAGCGCAGGTGAGCGTCTTCCATTGCAGCCTGGCCCTGCGCGGCGCCCTGTTCAAACGCCCTCGAGTGACGAGAGGGAGGCTTTATCACCACTCCAGAGTTGTTTTGCGGAGGAAGGACCTCCAGATTGTTGCCTAGGTGCAACACATCACCAGCACGGAACTGGGACGGTTTGATCCGAAGTCCTCTTCTTGCGAGCGTTCGCGTGATGACGCAAAGTCTTTCTTGCAGGTCGCTCAACTGGAGGGGCAACTGAAGAAAACACAATCGGAGAAGAGCCAGCTGCAGGGCAAGGTGAGCGCGACCTCTCAAACCATCCTTCGCACAGCCGGAGACGTCTGTGGATCTTTGATCACGTCCGATCATGACGTAGGGTTCAAGATGAGCATAATCGTTGTCGCTTTCGAAATCGTGAACCGAGTGCTTTGTGTGCAGCTTCAGGAGGTGACGTTCAAAAATTGTGCGCTCCTGCGCTCCGAGTCGCTGCACCAGCTGCATGCCGCCAGCCCCAAAAAGCCGTCCCCCGGGGACGGAAGCGCTGCACGGCCCCCTCTCGCGGAAAGGAACAAGGGCTTACTTGTAACGTCTGGCGACAGCAATACCCCAGTCAAAAAATCGGCTTTGTCAGGGCACCTTTCTTTGACGAAGGCCACGCCTCCTTCACTTTCGCGCCAATCGACAAGGAAAGAGAAGGAGAACAACGCCTTGTTGTAGGATTCGCAGTCTCAAAGAGCTAGGAGGGACACACATGGACCAGCAAAGCATCATGTCGACGTTTTCTTTTGCTGGAAGCTATTATAGATGATGCTTTTGCTGTGATTCGTCAGTTCAGCATTCCTGGCTTTCTAAGTGCAGCTTCACACGGCTTCATGCTGACACCGAGGAAGTAAGCTTGGACATCATGAAAACCGGCCGCGTCGAATTGCAAAAAGAAAATCATTTTATGGTGATGCGAGCTGTCACAGACAGCCATCAATAGTATCACTGAGTGTGTTGCAGATCGTCTCTTTTGAAGTGCAAGTCATTTCGAATTCATTCAATGATATGTAAATTATAATGATGATGGCACACACATGTTCGACCGTCACAGAACATGGATCCGCGCAATCAACGATGCGCATGTTAAACTATGCAATCTCAACAGGTTTTTCCATCGAATTGGAAAAAGCTTTTTATAGCTTTTAGTTGTATGATGCATGCCCGGGATGCGGCCAGGACCGGATCCTCCCGGTGAAAGAAGTGGTAACTGGCGGTGACCACGCAAACCTCAGTGCAAATTATGGGGGGTGGCAAGCCAGCATTGCAGCCGCCCACTTGAATGTTCCTATGAAACACACAACTCGTAAGCTGAGATCTCTAACTCTTCAACCTCACACATGCAACCCCAACTCCTGATCAGGCACACCTTCACTATCAGGCGCGAAGCAATTCGACCAGTAGGAGTTCATGCCTAACCTGCCAAGTCCATATGGCCATTCATGAAATGAGCCGCTAGCTGGACGACTTGCTGTTCCTTGCTCTACCGCATGACCAAGCTTCTCTTGGAGGTCGACTCCTGGCCCTGATCGCCACACTGCCGGTGCACGCAGCTTCCCCGGGACTTCTCAACCCGGCTCCGCCTGTTGCCGTCCCCGACAGGGAAAGCATTGCAAGCCAGATCTTTCAAACCCTGTGAAGGACCTATCCAGATTGCTGCACACGATCTTCTCAGGGGGCTCGTTGGGGCCGACTTGCTGCCGGTCACATCGGGCCCCCTTGCAGCATGGTCCAACCCCGAGTTTAACTTCCCTACCTTCGCTTCTAGCGGCGAGACACTGCCTCTGACTATTCTCCTCACAAGTCCTCCAAACTCGTTTGACTGCACCTTGTTTGCGGTCGATCGAGGAGTCTTGTTTGGGCTCCTAGCCGGTTTCCTGTCCAAGACCGCGCTCGGACCGCTCAACTCCCGCCGGAACGGCACCTGCTGCACCTTGCCCCAGAAAGCCGCTGGCTGCAACTCGCTGCCGTCCTGCGCTTCCAGTGGCGGAGCAAACTCAAACGACCGTCGTACGCCGCCCAAGTCGTCCTCCTGCTGTTCACGGCCCGCTGGCCGCTGCTGCACGCCTGGCGAGCTACTTCTCTCAGGAGTCCCGCTGTCCCCCGTTGCTCGCAGATGGCTCCGGGGCATGCCCCCCACACTCAGGTCCGACCAGCTACTGCTCTTGCTCAGCGGTGGGGTGTCTCCACCATTCGGAACCTCGCCTCCCTTTTCCCCATGATCATTCCCAAAGCTCCCCGAGTGCTTGCTGAACGCTCTGGGCGACCCAGGCAAGCTGGCTGCTTTGCCTGCGGCATCGGGTTTGCAGTCTCCGTCATGCACTGGGTCCTTCTCCATGCCTGCTTGTGACCTCCCTGCCGCTTTGGCCCCCCAGGCATCAGTGGGCGGGCCAGAGTCTGCATGTTGCTGAAGGATTGACAGGAAGTCAGGGAGGTCGACGTCGGCGTGCTCGCACAGCTGGCGCACCTGCTCGTGCTCTGCAGCGGCGTGGCGTGCCCACGCCTGCCACCGCGCGTCGCAATCGGCATGTGCAGCCTGAAAAGAGTTTTACATTCTATTTTAGGGTCCTAGGATGGTCACATTCTCGGCGCTTTGCCTCAGCTTTTGTGTAATGTCACTGACCTCAGCCAGAAGAACTGGAAACCCCGTCACCAACGGTCCAAAGCAGCGTCTGCAGTGCACCCTAACCGTCCAACCTTTGTACATACAGCCATACCCAACTGACAAGAGCTACAAACGCATTCCACCTCATCTGGGTGTCCTTCCTTACTGAACTGGACAGAACCGCTAGGCGAGAGCGATGAATGTGAGCCTTCAGATGCAGACTGCGGGCAATGAAATCTGCAAACGACCCTTTCAAACAAAGGGCAGGTGCCAGGAAGCATTGAAAAAGGATGCAGGCACTGACTTCCAACCAGAAGGACGCAACTCTGGAAGGGCAAGTCCAGAGACTTTTAAGGACAGCTCTCCTGCCCCCCAGTCTCTTGGATCTACAAGTTTCCCAGTGATCAGAGTATTGAGAGCGCATCGGGAGCGGGGGCTGACCTTGAGCTGCTGGCGCTGCAGTCGGTGCTGGTGCTGCAGCTGCTGGCATCGAAGAAGGGTGCGCTCCATCCAGCGCTGCGTGAGCGCGAGCGCCATCTCGGCTGCCTCGCGCCGGCCCTGCTCCTCCTCCAGCACCGCCAGCACCTCCCACTCACACGACAACTGCTGCAGCAACTGCAGAAAGCGACCAGGGGGGGCCTTCAGGGCGCGCTGAAAGGTTCACAGGACACAATAAAGCAGAGGAGCACTGCAAGAATTGTTCAGATCCACCCCAACAGACAAGAAAACAAGGTAAGAGATAAGATTTAGGCCGGGAACAGAGTTATATCAAACCAGACTTCTAACCAAGCTCTTTCGCCACTACCAGAGCAGCCAGGAAGATCACACAGGCCACCCTGAAGAAGGACCTCTCCACCACATGCGGGAAAGAGGCCTGGGCCTCAAGCCGCCATAAGTGGGATCTCATAAGTGGGATCTTAGAAACGCGTTGAATCAGTGAGAAGGACCTAACAATCAGCAGCTGAGCAAGGTGACAGTTGTGCAAGGAACATGGTACAAACTGATCTGCTTGACATGCATGTTTGACCACACACTCCGCTCAGCACCTCCTGCCGCATGCCCAGCTTCGTTGCTTGTCCGTCTGACAAGCACATACTAGCAGCTTGCCCCAGCCCACAAGCGCAATGTCGTAGATGGCCGCTCGGGGCAAGCGCTTTCTTATACTACCTTTTTGAGGGCACTTTTGCCCAGTGGGCACTAGAAGCGGCTTCAACCCAAGGGCATCGCAAGCAGGCAGCTTGTGTGCCTAGTATGGCTCACCTTGTGGTGGTCCCCCCGCCGCGTGAGCATCTCCTTGCGCAGCTCCTCCCGGCTCTTGTCCAGGGCACACTGCAACGCCTGCCCATGAGCAGGGCAAAACCACGTCAGGGTACAGATCAGGCTACTGCAAGCCCCCCAGCCCTGCAACTTTACCCAGGCTTAAGCCTACGAATTCTCCGCCCCCAGGCCACCAGCCCACCAAGTCCCTGAAGGGAGAAACCTGTCCACCCCTGGAATGACTTTGCTGCCAACGCAAGGAGGGGCTAAGCAAGATGAGGCACGCCATAGGGACTTGGGAACCCAGTTTCTGAGGACAATGGCACAGGGCAGCCTTTGGACGGGCGTCCCTTATCAGCAAACGCTCACAATCCTACAAAAGATGCCCTTGAAAAAGCTAACACCTTTGACGGAGTTGATTGCGTTTGGGGTGAGGTGCTCCATTCCTTACCGACTGCCAATATATACCATAAAGGCCCATTGAGGTTGAATCTTTTAACCCCAGATGGAGGAGAAGCATCACAGGCAAGCGGCATCTCAGACACACTTGCATTTCAAGGGCCTTTGCATAGGCATATCCTTGAAGGGCTGGGCTTTCTAGCCTGGTAAACTGTTAGAAGAATTGGGTAAAAGTTTTACACCAATTTCCACAGAAAATGAGCCAATCTGCTCGAGCGCCCACCTTGACTCCCTCCTCCGCAACGCCCCGCGCCTGCCTCTCCTTCTCGATGCTCGACCACGCAAGCGCCAACTCCTCCCTCTGCCGCCCTACAACCGCCTGCAGGCTGTCAATGCAGCTGGTCTTGGCCGCCAGTGCTGCCTGGAACATGCCACACACCGTGCTCAGGTCACCCGCCTGCAAGGACACAGGCCCCTTTGCGGAACCCATGTCGGCACACAAGGGACCGTGTGCCTAAACAAATCGAGAGCGCCAGAACCCGCTGCAATTCGCCTCGTCCCCCAACCAGGAAGCCCATCAAGCGGCCATGTCAACGCTTGCACATTACCCAGTGCCCAGATCATTCAGCTAGCAGCATTTTGCGTCCTCAGCTCGTTCAAACAATGTGCTGCTCGAACACTTTGAAGTTTGACGCAGACCCGTTCTGAACTCTAGAAAAGGGAGGACCTATGACCAGCCACCATGACTCGGTTGCCTCTGATTAGGTACCTATCTTGGTATATCCAGCTAGCTCAATGTACAATACCCTATACCTGCCTAGCTCGCAAGACTTTTGAATTTCAGACTTGGAGAAGGTGGCGCACATGCATGGTGCATAATTGCTTGAATTCATACAGCAATAAATGCATTGCTCCACCTCAGGGTTCTCGCCGCTCAAGTATTTCGACGCGGAGCTTTCGAATCGATTGACGAAATCTTGGCATTGAACATCGTGTCGATCCCGGAAGATCCAGTTGAGCTCCGGAAATATGACCGTTAATATCTGCGATGGCATGGTGACATGTCGCATGCGCGTGTACGGTACGTGGACCGGATATTAGGGCTTTAGGTAAAATCCAAAAAACCCTAAAAACCTAACAATACCGTATATGTCACGGCAGTTTGGAAATTCATAGTTTGCACTGTTTAGGGTTTGTCTCACCAATTCTGAGGAGGTCAACCCTGACTCAAGATCTCTGATTTGTTCGCGAAATGGAGCCATGGGGGCCGCCTTTCCCATGACTAGAGCTCACCCGCTCATCCTTCCTAGCTTGAGCTGCCAGCTTGAGCTTGATCTTCTAGCGGCTCAACACTGATAGGTCAAGATGGAGCAACCACTGCTGCCTGGCGAGGGGGTGACCGGTTCTCTGCGGAGTCAAAATGGGGTCTGCGCACCGTATGATCCCGGGCCAGGGTTGCCGCCAGGGGCAATCGGCCCCGCACTGCCGGGCACCCCTTGTGCAGATTCCAGAGAACAGTCAGACGAAGAGGCTGCGGCAGACGAGCCGCTGCATAAACTCTCGGGCATGCAGCAAGTCCGACGAGAAGCGCACAAGCAGTGGCGGCTTGCGCTGCCCATCTGCACGATGAATGTTTTCAACGTCCTCCTGGCGATGGTCAGCGTGATCTTCGTGGGGCATCTGGGCGCAAAGGAACTTGCGGCGGGGGCGTTGGCGACGGGCGTAGCAAATGTGACGGGCATAGCGGTCCTCGTAAGTGGACGCGGAGGGGTTTTAGACACCAACCTGCATAATTCTTGCAGAATAGCACTTTGACATCCATTCGCGATGCACCTGTCACGATTGGTTTACAGATATGCAAACGGCGCCCTCTTGAAATAACGTGGAGGTGTGCCGGCAAGCTGTCCGCCTTTAATTCCTGCTCCAGCCACCATTGTATAAACTTTCTTTGAATCCGTGAAGTCCAATCGATATTGATAAACATACTCAGTTGCGGCTGAACCGTGTCAACGATAGGCCCCGCCGCTTTTAAATTTGCAGGTGTCGCCCCAACCGGCGCAGTCTTTAGGCTTTCTGCAAGCCTGGGGAGTCGATAAGGGCATCTATCAGCCCCAATGCTTGACCCCCCCGACTTGCAGAAGGCCGACAAAACGCAATCTGCAAAGGGTTGTGCTTTCCGTTGATCTTTACGCCCCACCCAACACCAAACTGCGCCCCTCTTTCCTTTTGCCTCGGTGCCCCATCATCCCGCGACCACTGCCCTCTTTACAGGAAGGGCTGTCAGGGGCAATCGGCACATTCTGCGGCCAGGCGTTTGGGGCGGGCCAGTACATGCAACTGGGCCACGTGTTGCAGCGGGGCTTGATAATTAACACGCTGTTCTGCATCCCCATTGCCGCACTGTGGATCCATGCGGAGCAGATTCTGCTGCTGTGGGGCCAGAGCCCCAGGCTGGCGGCCATGGCCACACAGTACATGGTGCGCCTCATCCCGGGGCTGCTCGGCTCCGCGTGGCTCTACCCCACCGCGCAGTTCATCCAGGCGCAGGTGGGCAGTCACGTCAGTCAGCAGCGAGCGATGAGAAGGTGGTATGGGCCGTCTCGTATGCCTTGCCAATGAATGTCCATGGCACGTCCAGAGGGCACATGTTGACTGTGTTGCGAGCGTATCCGTGCATGGAGAGGGCAGAAAGTGAGTGTCAATTTGGTAGGAAGAAGTGAGTGCCAGGCGCTCGAGCCCACAATTTTGTTCTTGCTAGGCTACTCACAGAAACAGTACATGATCCAAATCTTCCCCCATTTTGTATTCCAGCCATCCTCTCACTGTCGGTTGCCAAGAGTTTGTTCCGCCTCAAAGCCCAGGCCGATCCGAACGGAACGCTTCTCTTTACAAACTCTTCCGCGAAAGTCCAAACAAAGATAGTGGCAGGATGGGAAAGTCACAGTCTGCTCGGTATCGCTTCTTACTCTCGTTGTCTCGCTCTCCTCAGGGCATCACTGTGCCCCAGGCGTTGACCTCTGGGGTGACCCTCGCCCTGCACATCCCGTCCTCCTATGTCTTCATCTACGGTCTCAACCTCGGCTTCACCGGGGCTGCCATCGCCAAGTGAGTGCACCAGCGGATTCTGAAGTTCCTTTCCTTGGTGTGCACGTTTCGATGTCGAAGCTACTTAGTTCCTTGTACGTTGGCATTCTATTTGGGTTTCTTTGCTGAGGATCAGTCGTTAATTGCAAAATTATTTTGTATTTTCGAGAGGGTTCGTCGCCCAACCAGATCCCCCTGATCGTTTGCATCCTTGAATGTAAAGTGTCAGTCTGTTCGTTTAAGAACTTGAGAGCATCAGCTCCATGTGTACCCAGCCCCTACAACCCCACATGATTACCTTCTGCCCCTTCATTCCTTTCTCCCTCAACACCATTATTGAAGCTCTCCCCATCCTCTGCGCAGCTCTGTCAGCTGTTTCTTTTCGTTTAGCCTCCTTGTCGCGTACTTGATGTTTGAGCGGTCGGGCATCCTGAAGCGCTGCTGGCCGGGCTGGTCCCTGCTCTGCTTCACGGAGTGGGCGCCCTTCCTCAGCATCGCCGTGCCGGCATGCCTCATGACCTGGTGAGATAAAACCATCCAGACACAGTGTCTAGCGGCTCTTTAAACCAGCTTGCGCTTGTCAGCTGATTTCCAGTCTCACCTGCGGTTGCTGACAAGAGACTTCGGCGAGCTTTGGTCCATGACAAAGTGGAAGCGAAGAGATGGACTGTATCGAACGTTTTTAGCTGGTTCGAGGATGAAAACGTGGCTTTGTTGGCAAGTAGACCGAGATCGGGATTGCTATCAGAACATACATCTGATCAATGCCAAGTTAGATGTGAGGGCGAGATTCTCGTGTTTTGGCGTCCGTTCCTGATTCGTTGCTTCAAAAGAAATCAGCCGCTTCCATTTATTAACCCTCATGGAACCCAGCAATGTTCGAGATTTCTTTCGAGTTCTCGTGTTTTGATACTTCAGATGATCGACCTTACTTGTCGAACAAGCTTAATATTGACATGCAAGTTCGTCCGTCGAATTTTTCCTCAACTCTTCAATTCGAGTCTCCTCAGAGGAATCGCTGACATCGGAAAGTTGCTAATTGTTCTACAGCAGTCGGGGAGCTTTTCTGAACCATTGCTTGCGTCAATTCCCTGAACCATCAGGGAAAGGGCGTTTTTGAAGTGCTGCGGTGCCCGGTAAGCCCCTTGTTTACGACTTGGCCTGTAACATAACGTGGCGGCCCTGTCCTGTCAACCCTTGCACTCCAGCAGCTGACCCGGCTGCGGCGTCGCTTGGCGTGCAGTTTGGAGTGGTGGTGCATGCAGCTGATCACCATCTTGTCGGGCCTGCTCCCCGACCCCGAGGTCCAGGTGTCCGCCATGACCATCTGCTTCAACACCGCCGCGCTCTGCTTCATGCTGCCCCTCGGCCTCTCCACCGCCGTCAGGTCAGCGCCCGCGCACTGCTCACCGAAGATTGAGTTGTTGGCAATTCCGTGCAAGGTTGGTCGGCATTGCATTGTCCACTGCGGTGATGCATTGCCAACAAGTCCTAGCTTTCTACGATTGGGGCTGATCCGTGCGACCGTCTTTGATAGAGCTCCGTATTTGCTGATATTGGATTACGTATCTCGGATATGCACCGGCGCTCTCTTTATGTTTTAGTTTCTTCGTGGTTGCACCACCTTTTTCGGTGTACTGCCGGCAACCAGTCATGCTCAATCTATGTCGAAGTGAACTGCTCAGCAGACTGCTTCAGGCCCTCGTATTCTGAGGTCTTTGGATACCATCGTAATAATAGTTGAGAAAATCTGATGCAGGAGTCGCCTGATTAGTACATGAAAGAATTGGAAGAGAACAGCGTGACAAGGGCCGTCCCCTTTCTGGCCACTTTTCTTGTTCACCAGAATGCTTGCCGAAGCCAGCTCGTGTTTGTATGCAGCGTGCGCGTGAGCAACGAGCTGGGCGCGGGCAAGCCGGGGCGCGCGCGGCTGGCGGTGCAGACGAGCATGAGCATCGCGCTGGTGCTCGGGGTGGTTCTGGCAGGCATCCTGCTCGCGCTGCGCAACAAGTGGGCGCTCGTGTTTGCGGACCCGCGCGAGGTGCACCTCATCGCGCTCGTGGCCAAGATCATGCCGCTCCTAGTTGTCTCCCAGTTCGGGGTGGGACTGCAGGCCATTCTCTCAGGTGAGAGGGGTGGATAACGGCTTTTAGTAGGTGCTACGCTTGTCTTCGTTGATGGGTTCGTACTACTACAATCAGTACCTCTCGAATGCGTTTGCGCGCAAGTAGAGAGCGATCTGATGGAAGGCTACTCGATCGTCCCACAAAGTGCGTAGAGAATGCTGTGTATCTTTTGGTGGATGGCCGCTCACCAAACGCACGGGACTTGACTCCTGCTGTCGTCAGCTAGCCGGCGGTGGCATCAACGTCAAACAACGCACTTCGATCTGACGTAAAGGAATTTCTATTCTCAAATCTGAAGTTGTAGACCGATTGGTTCTTCACAAAGTGCTGGTGACACTCAAGTCTGAAGCCTGCCGGTTCTCCAGGTGTCCTGCGCGGCTCCGGGCAGCAGTTCGTGGGGTCGGTGATCAACTTCGTGAGCTACTACGGCATCGCGGTGCCGGCCATGGTGTTGTTCGCCTTCCGCCTGGACCTGCGGTTGCAGGGCCTCTGGTTCGGCCTCATGCTGGGCGTGGGCCTGCAGACGCTCATGCTGCTCATCCTCACCTGCCGCACGGACTGGAGCCTTCAGGTGTGCGCCGCCACCTCGCAACCCTTTCTTCGAGCGGCTTGGCGTTATCGTTGTCCGCTTCGTACTCTTTACATTCCTGCAGCTTGAGCTTCTTCGCCGTCCACTTTGTTGAAAGGGAACGCGACTCTGTCGACGGGCAACTGCTGCTCTGCTCCCCTGACGTTGTCCTCTATCTAGATGACTGGCGATGTCATTGCTTCGCGCTATGTTCTATTTGTAATCAAGCATTGCGTACGCTGCGGAGCTGATGAAGTTGGCCATTTGTGCGCGCAGGCCGACCGAGCTAGAAAACGAGTAGAAGCCATAGCGCGAGACCGGTATAGCCCTGTATTGTGTTGACAGCAGTGGGCTCTGGCCATCACTTCCTCCAGCGTAGCTAGTCAGGCACGCAGTCGATCAGTCCAGGCATAAATGATGTCATACTTTGATCACGGAAGGTACAACCAACTCGGGGCCTTGTGCGGAATGGTGCGTCATTGGGGCTCAATGTTGAGCAACGTATATTGTAATATAGATCTTACAAATTTGGATCGGGTAACTGTGACACGGGTCCATTTGCAGTACAGTCTGTGCACTGAGCAGAGCTGAACGTGAGGCAGACGATTTGCGGCATGATCTGCTGGACTTAGCATAATTCGTAATTCCATGCTCGACAACTGAAAAGCTGTGACGTCGAATCGTGCATGCAGGGCCTGTCGACATGGCCTGCACGCAAATGCCACTCACGCGCATGCGATGCAAATGACATATATAGGATTGCGAGCTTCATGCTACCGCTACATGCCCTGCAATCACGCATGGCACATGCCGCCTCAGAGCTCATGTGTGCGCGTGACTTACTGTCAATGCAATTGCCCGCGCGCGCTATAGCAACTTGGGCCGGCCATGACGGCCCTTACCCTATATAAATGAGCCTCATGTTAATGATATATAGCCGGGACGACATACCTTATCGGTTGATGATCTTCTCCGACATCACTAGACTCAAATATAGGACTTCTGTTGACCGCGGTGTCACTGAGACGGTCACTCATTGCTACATATACTAATGATTCTTAAAAAGCGGCCAGATCTTCCGACGGTAACACATACGGTATACCCGGCGCCCATATGTGTGCGGGGTCCATGCATGGTCATACTATCTAGATTCGACATCATGCAACGTAGGTACCGGATGGCACCCTAAACCTGAGTAGCTGCACGCCTCAGGCCCCACGTTCCGCTTTGACCTGCACAGAAAGACATCACGACGCCCGGCAAGCTGATGGGGTCAGCCTAGTGGCTCAACTATGATACCGACTATATCATCCTAGCTGGAATGCTACGGCCCAAGAATCGTATGTACTTCCAGTCCAGTTGCTTTTATAGCAGCACTCCTTTACTGGATCCTATCTAGGATTACAGGCCCCGTCACTGCGAGCTGATGTTTCCTACTTCAAGTATGTACATAGCCTAGTAGAGTACAGATATTTAACGTCATATCCGACCGCCGTACTTCCATTGACAAGTCCGCTTCATGATCTTCAAGTTTCTCGGATTTGTGAGCACGTCACAAAACATGTCGGCCTGCAATGCAAAGACAATATTTCAAAAAAAATCGGTCAACACCACTAGATTTGAGTCAGATTATCCATCACATGGCGGCCCTATGACAGGCCCCTTTTGAGTCCTGACAAGGCGAACCTGTTGGGAAGATGCTTGGAGGAAGCTACTGGAAATGCCATTGACCAGGCAGTGAAATATATCCACGTCTAGGTTGGCAAGCAACTTCACGACAAATCATTTCAAACGAGCAGAACGCAGCAGCCTACATTGCAAAGGACTTTTTGAATCGCAATTCCAACGGCGGAAGTGCCAAAAGTGCTTGGAAGGAACAACAATCATGACTTACGATGAACTCATGCGGTATAAGCTCGATAAGGTCGACCGTCCCTGTGAAGCGCGCCGCGATGTCCATCTCGACCGCCCGGTTCTCCCAGTCCCTCAGGAGCGCAAAGGACATGCCGAAAGTGCTGAGGCCGTTCAGCTGGGCGGGAACGATGATGAGCGTGCTGCTGGCCGCAGCCTGCTGCCCAGGGGGGAGGAGCGCCTCGCCCAACTTCTTCTCCTGCAAACCGAAATCAGAGTCGCTCAGGGCCAAAAGCTGGAAGGAACAGAGGCGTCTAAGAAGACAGACCATGATCAGAGTCGTGCAGGCCTGAAGCCGGAAGGGATAGAGGCGTCTAAGAAGACATACTGGGATCCTGTAGAAGGTCAACTGGGGCTTTGGATGGAAAATTTCACTAAGACCTGGTCAAACCACCGAAGCATTCAACTCTCCCACTGGGGCACGAACAGAGGAAAACCGTAGAAGAGAGGCGGCCTTGTGCGAGTGACGCGCATTGAGCAAACAGAGGAGTACACACCTACCTTGTAGATGATGTCTAGGCTGCTCGCCTCATAATGCACCCCCACCTTGTTGGGATTCTTTACCAGCACTTTGACCATAAGGTCAATGTCAAGTACGAGTCTCCTCCCGAAGATGGTCGGGTCGTTCTCATCCGCTGTCTCTAGCGCTTTCCCCCATGCCTCTTTCTCGGTTTCGTTCAAAGCTTCCCAACCTAACAAGTCTTGCGCAACAGTAAGTACGCTCCTGATACTGGTGTCAGCCACTGATTCCGAAGCTCTTATAGACCTGTCAGCGTCTTCTAAGAACCTTCTTCCGTCTTCTTCCGTTTCCTGTGCCCTCTCTTCCGCCACCACGTAAGGTTGTCGTCTCGAGTCCACTATAGAACCGTCAAGAGCGGACTCGTTCGCCCAGTCCGATGGGTACATTCCCACAGTCGAGTCTCTCTCCCATCTGAGCTGAAACTTTGTGAAGCGTACATCCACCAGATCAAAGTCAGGATTCCTGCAGGCAAGTCCCTAGCTCAGCTCAATGGACAATATGACAGCAAGCCCTGGAAAGTGTGAGGATGATAAGAGTGGGGTGGTGCTGGCATCATTCAAGATGTTTCGTAGATTTCAAGAGCGACATGCTTGAAGTAGTTGATCAAGCACCCAATCTGACCAAGTTGAACAGACCGTTGCACCTCATACGATCTTCTTGAATACTGCAACCTTCAAGAAGCACGGCCTCCATTGTGTGTAACCGCATACTGCGGGGAGACCCTAACAAACGGCATAGCCAAAGAAACAGGCTTGACAATGAAAAACACTGCCTACACAAACCCTCCCCCCAAAAGTGGCTCACCTGGGATAAAACGACACGGCAAGGAAACCCAGAGCCAGGGCGAGGGTGATGTACACGGAAGAGATGAGAAGCGCTTGGCAAGACCTTCCCCAAAGGCATGCCGCTCGGCGCCGGTGCCGCCTCCTACGCGAAAACCTGCTGTCCCAATGCGACTCTGATCCTGGGTAAGTCTCAAACAGTCCCTCCTCAGGTTGCCACCCGCTTTCCATCTCGCCTGGGTCAACAGCACCACTGCCTCGGCACAACGGACACTCTGCATGTGCCCCATTGTCCATCTCATCATCTGAAGTCGAGCCAGGCTCCTCAGGCTCCTCCTCAATCTCCTCAACGCGCACCTGCGCAGCATCTGGCTGCATTGTCGACAAACTTTCGGCAGCCATGAACTTATGCGCTGTTTCCCCTCGGGTTACATGGACCTTCGACTCAGCCATCACATTGCACCTAGCCGGCCCAAGTGGCGGCAGCGCTAGAAACCCTAGAAACCAAGTACCCCGGTACCTGTGTGGGGAGAGAAGCTGCATGGCACAAGTTGGCACGACGCATCGATCCAGCTGAAGTTCAAGACTGCTTTCGTAAGACTTTAGAGAACTTTCAGGCGTCGATGCTATCAAAGTTGACAACGGACGATTGATGTCGAATTTGATGAGTCACTAGGGCAGAGTTGGTCGCCTGATGTGCTGGAGATCGACCACGCCGCCTTGGAGACTCAATTTCCCAGCCGTCGATGGAATATTAAAGAAACTCTCGATCACTCTACCCCGTCGAGATGAACCAGACATTGTTCTGAGGAGAGTTGCTGCCTAGAATGCCAAGCCCTTCCTTGCAGTGCCAGTGGCTTTTCTTGCAAGTCGCAAGGCAGCCAGCACTCGAGCCAGTTTGTCGTCTCCTGTTGGGAAATAGGGCAAGCGTGTCTGAGGATCGTGAATGGGGCGCCTTTGCAAAGGTGTTTCTCCTGATAGATCCATTAGTGCCCGTGGCCATCGATTCAGGCAACGAGACTGCACCTGGTTTGTGGTACATAAGGGCAATGCTGCTAGCTGGGTGGCGGAAGACTGTGTAAAGTTGCCAAGTGATTAGCCACCCTCCAACTAAGTCGGCAGGACAGTTGGCTATTTAGATAGTTCTAGCGTAGTGAACAGGTGGGGGACAATTTGCCCTTTTGTTGGTTCAACGACAGGTATTTCAGGCACCACAGGTGAAAGCATCGAAGTTGGTGCTGTGATGGATGCTGCTGCTGTGGCTCGTTCGCACCACTGCCTCTGCGGGGGCCCGACGGCCACAGGAAAACCCCAGAGACTGCAGAGCGCAGGTCAGCAAGGCTATACATGCAGGTTGATGGGATGGCCGTAGAAGCATTGCGTGGTTGGGTTGTTGGTGCGTTGAGTTGTGTTGTGCCGTAGAAGTATTGTGGAGTTTCAAGGTTGCCACTCAGCCAACCACAACAGCGCATTCGCTTATTGCATCGTCACTTGATGCGTGCTTCCACTTTTGAGCTGGTCTGTTTCTGAAAGTGTTCTGCCATGCATGCCATCTCCCTTGCTGCTGCTGTTTGATTTGAGTGAGCACTTTCTTTCATGGGTGGAAGATGTCAAGCGACACCGCCACATCGAGCAGGATCAGCATTGATATGATTGAGGGTGTTGGTCTGAGTCGAAGTTTGTGATCCATCGAGTCTTGTGACCAGTGAATAGCAACGACTTCTGTGGCAAGCAATGCCATCGGCAGATGGGCTTCGATTCTGCATTTTGGACCAGACTTCAAAGCTGTTGATTTGAGATTCAGCCACAACGATTTGTTTGAGATGCTTTGGAAATTTCCATGTCACGACTCCGAGCAAATATGGACTTGGTGTTGCCTGCTTACTTCCAAGTACATTGAGTTAGGGTTTTGGCACATTGAACACCTCAGCTGTCTGGTCAGGCTTTGTGTAAAGTGTTCGCTGACATGCCCGTAATCCCTTTTTGCAGAATGTCACACAACCAGTTTTACTTTGAGTCCAGTGTCCCGGCAATTTTGCCGAAAGCAACATCGGTGGTTGCAACAGAAGCAGCAGAGGTTAGATTCCAGGCGAAGACCACAACCCAGTGGTAGTTTGGCAAGCAGGGGCAGCCAAGCTGACCTCCAGGCGTTCTTGTCAGACATTGGGAGAATAGAGAGATCGAGGGGCAGGCGAGTGCCACCTATTTCTTCGGAAACTGCAGACCGAGGGGGTTATGACAGTACACGGTCCAGAACATCACGATGGCAGGGGTCAGCAGCTGCGTCTCTTGCTTCGATGGCGCCTACGGCCCCTCAGGCGCCTGTTGCTCCCGAAGGGAATGCCGTCCAAGAAGCCACAGAGCGCGTCGGAGTGTTATTACTTAATCTAGGGGGCCCGGAGACTCTCGATGACGTGCAACCTTTCCTGTTCAACCTCTTTGCAGATCCTGTAAGTGCTTCCCTCTCTGGTTCAACTCCTGAAGATCAGTTGCATTGCAGTTGTTACTCTCATGAAACAAGATTTCCTCCTTGCTTATTCACTGCCCCCTTTTCTGGTGGGGCATCCTATATGCGGATATTTCCAATCCAGCTTGTGGGGTCCTTCAGAAATAGACGGTGCTGCTTGCTGAAAGGTTGTTCTTTACTTTTCGATGCAGGATATTATCCGCCTGCCTCGCAACCTCCGCTTTCTGCAGCGCCCGCTGGCGCAATTCATCTCTTCCGTGCGTGCACCCAAGAGTGCCGAAGGCTACGCTGCTATTGGGGGAGGTTCTCCCCTCAGACGAATCACGAATGACCAGGCTCAGGCACTACAAGAGAGCCTTGAAAAGAAGGGCTGTCCTGCGCATGTATATGTAGGTAAGGTTTGTGCTGGAACACTGGATCATGCCGCTTGCGACGGGTATTGTTATCAGTTGAAATATCGGATGGCCACATTCTAGTATCAGGATGCCAAACAGCCCGCGTTTTACGAGTTAAGGCTTTCTTCTATCTGGACAGGAGTCTGCACTTCACTACACAGCTTAATACGTCTTTTCGACCTTTGCTCAGGTATGAGGTACTGGCATCCATTCACGGAGGAAGCGATCTTCGATGTAAGTCGATCTGGTTCGGATTGCCCCTATTCTTGGCTGCATTCGACCACTCTCACAGCCACTGCTGATACAGGACAGACCGCTAGCAAGTGCTGCGCTGAATGGAGCTGTAATTGAGGGCAAAGGCCTTTCCTTGAAGAATCGCACTCTCAAATGATTCAGGGCGCTCTTGCGATGTTGGTTTGAGCACGAAGTGTATCTCAAAACAACTTTCCTGAGTGCGAATAGATACTGCTTCGACTATGCAGATCAAGCAGGATCGGATAACCCGGCTTGTCGTCCTCCCTCTGTACCCTCAATTCTCCATCTCCACCAGCGGGTCGAGCTTGCGCCTCCTAGAGCGACTCTTCAGGTGAAGCTTGCTATTACCGCTCACCATCTGTTGTTTCCTCAAGAGTCGGCCCGACGGACACCTGCTCTTTTGCCAGATTTGGCAAAGCCATCTCGGTCTTATCCCCCGGATCGCTTTCTATCTTCGCTCTAGAACGTTGACCAAGTTACAACATTGGCTGAGAAACCATTCTGGTTGGTGAGTCTTAAGTGCTGACTTTCTGGTTGCAGGGAGGACGACTACCTGGTCCAGATGGAGCACACGGTCATTCCGTCCTGGTACCAGCGGAGCGGGTACGTGAAGGCGATGGCGAACCTCATCGAAGAGGAGCTGCAAAAGCTGCCAGTGCCAGAAGAGGTGAGCCTGCGGCTACTTACTGGATTTCACAAAGACGCTCAGTGGTTACTTGGATGACACAAAGGTTTGATGCAAACCTTCGTGTCACTATTATGTCAATACGTTCGTCACTAACTTGGAAGCTTTTTCGAGGATGTATGAGGATATTCTTTACTCGAGAATCAGTGATAGAGGCGAACACCTCGAGACGACTCTTGTCTTCCCGCACCACTGTAGGATACGTTGGATTGAAGGGGGCTGCTGGGCGTCAACCGTCATTGTGCGGCCCTGAATTGATTTGGGTCTTCGTTGTTCCCAGGCCCACATTTTCTTCAGCGCGCATGGGGTGCCGGTGACCTACGTGGAGGATGCTGGAGATCCGTACAAAGCCGAGATGGAGGAGTGCATCGCATTGATCACGCAGGAGCTCGAAGACAGAGGGGTGGACAACAAATACACGCTTGCATATCAAGTGAGCACCTGCATCGGCAATGCTCTGCATTCTTGTTCCTTTGCCTGCGACCTACCAACTCTGCTTGGCATGACGCTCGACGAGCAGAATCTTGAGGACTTCGATGTAGACTGTTGATCCTAGTCATCTATGACTGTTTTTGCTGCCCCTTGATGGACAAAGACCGGAGCTGTGTTCCGGAGGCTTGGAAGGCATATTTCCACGCACTTTTTCTGCAATTACCCTGCCACCACATCTTTCAAAATTTTATTACTTTCGCCAACTTCTCGACCTTCCACATGCAGAGTCGAGTCGGACCAGTCGAGTGGTTGAAGCCATATACTGGTGAGGTGATTCTGCCTTTGTCGCTCTTTGAAGGCAGTGTACAGCTGTCCTTCATGGCGCTTGACTGTGGCAGCCTTCGCAGATATTTCTGCCTGAACCTTCTTCGAGCAAAGATTACAAAGTTGACACATTACTTGTTGCAGATGAGACGATCAAGAAGCTGGGCAAGGAGGGAGTAAAGTCGCTACTGGCTGTGCCTATAAGGTAGGTTAATAGGAGCTCTTTCGTTTCTTTGCTTCTTTCTGCTGACAACCACTTGACTTTCGCTTCGTTGTTGTAATAGTTTGTGCTGACAACCACTCACTTGTTGCTTGGTTGTTGTATTATGATCTGTTCCATTAAGTATCGGTTTCGTACAATGGATGTTGGATTGCTATACCAAGCTGAAATCCTTTCGTTCCCGCCACGACTGTAAAGCTTGCTCACACGTGTTGCCTACCGCCGCAGTTTCGTGAGCGAGCACATTGAGACGCTGGAAGAGATCGACGTGGAGTACCGGGAGCTGGCGCTGGCGTCGGGCATTGTGCACTGGGGCCGCGTGCCCGCGCTGGGCGTGGAGCCCATGTTCATCGACGACCTGGCAGACGCTGTGCTGGAGGCGCTGCCGTTCGTGGGGGCCATGGCCATGTCGTCCGTCGATGCTAAGCAGGCAAGGCCATTCAATCTATCATGGAAGCTTTAGTCCACATCAGGATCTTGCTGGGAACGCTTGTGCGGATGCTTTGTACAGCTTATTTCAATTAGGCTCTATTCCACAGCCAGATGAAACACAAGTCTCAGGACCCCAGCAATCCATCTCGAGCCTCCTATTCCACTTCGATTCGACTGACGAGAACAGGCGCCGCTCACATGTTAAATAGGCGCTGTAGTTGAAAAGTTCAGAAGCTTGTACTTCCACATCTGGAAGTAATGTCTGGAATACAGATGCGATGAGGTCATTTGCTGACGTCTCTGGTTCCTGGGCAGGCTCTGGTGCCTCTGGGCAGCGTCGAGGAGCTGTTGGCGACGTACGACACGCTGCGGAGGGAGCTGCCAGCGCCGGTCGCAGTGTGGGAGTGGGGCTGGACGAAATCGGCGGAGACGTGGAACGGGCGAATTGCGATGGTAAGCGACTCTCTCCCTTGCCTTGCTTTTGCATGGTTTGCATAAGTACAGAGCCGAGCTTGGCACTCGTGCCATGCCGCATCAAAGGTATTGCTCGCCAGCGCAGGTTCTTTCTGCGAACTTGGTAAGAAGTGTGAGGAGGTGCTTTCTTGTGAGCGCTCTCCACGAGCTTGTCTTTAGGACACGGAACATGTTGGACCTCCTGTTTGCAGATTGCTGTTCTTGCTCTGCTAATATTGGAAGTCACCACTGGGCAAGGCGTGCTGCACCAATGGGGAATGCTGCCTCCGAAAACCTGGTAGCTGTCCCAGCGGACAAGTAGAGGTGAGCAGGCACTTTGAGGCAGCACTGTTTCTGACGACACAGCGGCAGTTCAATTGTCGAGTTGGGGATTCAAGGATCATATGTGGGCATGCTGCATCGCGTCTCACTCCGCAGACGTGATGTCGCTCTGATTGTGCTTCTTGTGTTCCTGCTGCACCCAAGCTCTTCATCAGAAGGTTGTCAACCAGGCCAGAGACGTCTCAAAACTTGAATCAAGGTGTTGATGCTGCTTCTTCATAAGTACTTGTCATGGGGAGACGAAAATCCTCGTTGGAATATGTAGGATGAAGCTTGCGCACTTTTGGCTTGCAGGTCCATGATTCATTTTGTGCGTAGTCTGGGAGGGTGGGACACTAGACATGGCCACGCCTTCTGTGGTTGTACATCAAGGTGCAGCAGGACCCGATTTGCAGCTCCCTTCCGCAGAAGTAGCTGCAAGACGTCATTCCAGCATCTGTACGTCGCGCAGATAGGACTGATCACCAAACGGTTTCTCAAAAAGGTCATGTGCTTCAACAGATTCAAGTTACAGTTGAATTTGACGAGTCTAGGTCTGGTTGGCCGTGAAGCTGCTTTGCATGGATGCAAGACAGTCCTTTCCGGTCATTGTATCACAATATTGCATGTTGTGTGAAGACTATCCATTTTGCCAAATGCACATGGGCGTTGACCATGTGTCAAATGCTATCGCATGAGATAATAAATTGTTCCTCTTTGATTCAATGTTCATGACATTGCGTTTGCATGTGTGACAGTATAGCTAGCTTGCCTCAAAAGAACAGCTCTTAACTGCATATATATGGCGGCAAGCTCATGACGCCCTATGCAGGGCGATCAATACAACGGTCAGGTTGATGAGTTTGTAGATTGTCACTTCAAACAGTGCATGCCGCGGCCGGAGCATGGTTATTCGCCTTTGATGAAACTGACAACCTAATTTCACGGATCTTTACCCAGCAAAGACTTGGTCCAAGCTCACAGGGCTTGATAGCAGCCATACAACTGCCCAAACCAGCCGTATTCAATGTGGGACCATGGTGTCGCGTTGTTCTCACAGTTCTCCACCAAAGCGGATAAGGGTAAGCTCTTTGATTATTTGTAGTATAGAATCTGTGCCCACACCAGTACGAGAAGTTCTCTAGAAAAGACAGGCCTGCACTGGAATGAACACCTAGGTGCCGATTCTGCAAACTCAGTGAACTCAGTGCATGGACAACAGACAGGGCAGTCAAATGAACTGGAATCTGTGATCAGACTACTCTTGGCTCTGGACTTGCCAGACTTCCATATTACGGCAATACGTACTTGTTTCGACAAGTTGCTCAAACCCCAGAACGCTGCCTGCGAAGGAAGAACAGAGGGTCCCAGTCAGGCTTGCTGACTGCTTATTGTCTGCATTTTCTCCGTGATTCAATCGTTTGGGGTCTTTTGCAAGGGTCTGATGGTATACTGCAGAAAGAACGTTCTATAAAATGGATGTTACAGATCTCTGCCACACAGGGCCACACATAAAAACTTGCTCATGCCCATGCTTGTACAGGAAAGTTTCGCTGATTACCAATCTAAAGTCTGCACAAGCAACGTTGCTCCCTGTTCATGAGCTCAAGGAGGACTTTACTCTGGCATATCAGAGCAGATAGCGATCAGACAGAATGCAAATTAGAAGCATAGGTCCCAACTCACATTTCCGGAGCTTTCTTAATCCTCTGAATCAGCATCTTTTTCGGCTTCTCGTCGGAGTGCTTCCTCTTTGGCCCAAACATTTATCCGTGTTTCTGGTCTAGCGTTCAGCCCGACGACCAATATGATTGTTGCAGCACCAAAACCAATGTAATACGGAAGTTCCCAATCCTCCCACTTTCTTGCAACACCAGGAGGCCGGGGCTTCTCCATGAACAGCACTCCGTTCGGCTTTGCTGGATCCTGTTTCCCTGGGCCAAACCACCCTCCAGGATATCCTCCAGCTCGTGTTCTGGTGGCGTTCCTTAGCACCTTGAAGGAGCTCCGCATGATTCCTGCCATGACGTTGCTCGACTTCCAATCAAGAAGACCTCGCAATGCTGCCGTCACAATGAATACAAGATGAGCCGAACCAACAATATTAGGCCTTTTCCGGGAAAATCAACTAGCCGCCTCGCGCCATGGATGCACCACCAAACCTGATAAAGTTGAGCATTAAATTTAAAGCTGAGGCGCCTTGAAGTTGAGGCTTGAGGCTTGATCAGCTTCCTGCTTCTCAGTCGCATTTCAGGCCAGGTTAACGACAAACCGTACATGGGTAAAGCAATTTGGTCATTAGCACGGTTAAGACTTGAACCAGGAAGCTTTGCCGTACATGCAGTGCATGCAGTCTCGATCTCCCCCTTGAAGGACCGGCGCGCGGTATGCGGTTCCAAACCCTACGGATGTAACCCGACTTGTATACCATATTAATTATGTCACAAATTTGGGCCGGGCAAGGAAGCAACCTGGGACGTTCAAACCCTAATTTCGGGAGCTCAAGAGCTCAAGTTCAATCTGTCAGTAGGAGCTACGTACGTACGTCCATCTTCGCCTTTCTACCATGGGGATCAAGTTGTAGGAAGCTATATTGCCATGGGAGCCCTGTGGATGCAATGCTGCCAGCTATAGACTGCATAGTAATAGCGACGAGCGCTTGCCTTAGTCTGGATGCAGTTTGCTATGGCTGCCCCTTCATGCTGTCCCATATGTGAGGTGCACCTTCCATCCTTCTGCCCCTCCTGTGTACAAAACAGGTGAGAAGCATGGGACTGCGTTTCGAAGAGTAGCATACCAAGGCTTGGTTCCTATCTTAAATACTAATGGAAGGCACACTCTTTTCCGGACACAGCCATCGCCTGATGAATGGATCTTCATGTTTGACTACAGTGCCCTTTGCTCCAGAGTCTGCATGTTACATAGTGACCATACCTCAAGAGTGTGTATTCCCCTGCTTGCTTTGACAGGATCGCTGAGAAGCGGCGAAAGCTCAAGGCTGCTGCTGCAAGAAGGGATGCCACCAAGGAAAAGCTGAACAAACGACTGGCCGCTGTGGTGAGTTGGGCCTTGGGATGATGGACTCTGTGCGTGTTCAGGCTCTGAGATCTCATATGATGGATATATCTTGTGGGCAGCTCTTTGTGGCAGCTTGTGAAATCGGCCCCACCTACTGTAGAGAGACTTAAAAGTTGGATGTCTGGTTAGCGGTGCCATACATTTCTCAATGTGCATAACAGATGCAACTTTGTGCCCCAGCATTCGCTGCCCCAGCAACGTTTCTGCCTGTAACTTCTTGCTTTCGAAAATTGTTCTCTGAAGCCGGCCCATCTAGTGGCTGCTCACCTCCAAAACCATCCCTTCAGGGCGCTGCCGACGATCAGCGGAGATGGCGGATAGAGTGGGCGGAGGCGCGGGCTGAACTCCAGGACCAGATTCGGAAGATCACGGACGAGCTTGCCAAAGGTAGCGGGATTCTCTGGTCTCCTGGTTCCTGATATTGAAGACCTGGTTGTGGAGTCTTGTCAATTGCAGTTTATCTGTTACACTTAATAGACTGCAGAAAGTGTTTCTGTATATAGTGTGAACAGCGTGGTGGTACAAGTGTGCTGGTGTTGGTATACAAGTTTGTGAAGAATGCACAAAAGAGGAACTTTTGGGGCGGTCGAAGATGTCTTCTTTGCAAGAACTTGATTCTTATGTCAATTGCACAGCTTGGAAGAGTCCATTGGTAAGATATCTCCTCATAGCTTGGATGCTCACGCGTCAACGCAAGCATTGTCTATTGGCCAGCTTGCTTTTGAAGCGACTTGAGTCATCTGCTTGACGTAGGATTGGCTGAGCAAGGCAAGTCTCACTGTTAACCTCAACTGCAGGAATGGAGAAACTAGAGAGGCGGAGGCGGAATGTAAAGATACGGTCCAGTCAATTGTCAGATGCAAACAGCAAGGTGAGAGCACATGCTCTGATGGACATTGTGGGTTTTCCATGGGAGGCCCGAACACAGCGAGGATATTAAGATGGTCCCTCATTCAGGCAGTGCCTTCCTAAGCAATCCTGAGCTCTGCGGTACGCAGCCCAACTTTGAGATAGTTCAATCGACTTGAAAGCCATCAGCCAAAAGCCATGCACATCACATCTTCCAGGCCTGACTCCCATTTCGATTTTCTGATCTAAAAGGTTGTTGAATGGATTGTAAAGTCTTAGTCCCTGAGGTTCAATCTGGGAGCAACTCAATCATGGAGGAGACCTGTTATCGAGATTCACTTCCATCTTTCAGGATGACGTCTTCTCAAATGAAAGAAATCGAAACTGAACGAAAACATAGACAGCGTGTTCAGTGCGCCCTCATCGTTTCCCTATCTGCCTTCCTGCAGTTGTACAGTAAACGCAATGAGATTCTTTTACAATATTTTCCTGACGTGTTGCGAAGTGAGTCGCTACGACAGGTAAGCTGCCAGCGGTGTTTCTCTTAGGTCATTTGATCCAGCCGGTCGTTCCAAAAGCACCAGTGCAAACATGTAATCAACCCGCAGGGAATCGCTGCTGCATGCCTTGGTTTGGCAGTGCAAGGTTCTGCTCTCGTTTTGCCGACCTTTTGAAGGAAGAGCGTGTTCGTTCGTATAGGAGGAGGTTCTCATCACAAAGTCTCAAAACTGTTCGGATGACGCCAGACGTTTTGGCGCTAAGAGCATGACGGCTTTATCCAAGGATTCGGTGATTGATCTGGGATGTGCAAGTAGCCCATCAAAGCCTGATTGCTTTGACGTCCACTGCAGACATTCGTCAATGTGGAGTTGGCGCGGCTGCGGAGACAGACCATTCAAAAGCTGCGCTCAGTGTTGCCTCTGCGTCTGGTGAGCTCTCTGCAAGAAACTGGCCCTGGGGAACTCCCAGTTTGCCTGCCAACAAGATGGGCTAGTCTGCAGGCTCGTTGACCGGGCAACGAAGTAGATACTAGAACGTGGCGTCTCCCAACAATCTGTATCCACTCCACGATCTATGTAAGCGAAACGCCACTTTCGTTAGAAAGTTTATCTCTTTTTAACCTTGATTTTAGAATTCGCTGTTTCATAGGCCTGTCCTGGAGGCTGGTGTTGGTCACTCCTCTGCATCGCTCCCTGCACGAAGCTGACCCCTCGCGCGTTCTCCCGTGCAGACGTTAATGGACATCGGCTCCTCCATGCGCCAGTACGTCACCATCTGCGGCATCCGCCTTCCGGACGGCACCGAGCCGACAGTGGACAGCGGGCCCGAGCTGTCAGCAGCGCTTGGGTGAGAAGGAGCACGTTTTCAAAATGATTTTGCTCGCACAACTTACAGTTTGGTTGGTAGTCGAGGCAACGGGGGCCAATCATACATAAGGAACAGTTGGATGGGCTCGACCGTTAATCATATCTCTCCAACTTTCGCTAAGCATTTTTTTCTGGCTGTGGTCCCTCGCTGTTTGGATCGAAGATAAGGCATGCCGTATCAAGAAGGTAGGGAGAATGCGGCGACCTCTTGGCCTCGAGTATCGACCCTTAACGCGCGACATGATTGGGAATCTTGGTTGGGCGCAGGTACCTTCTCCAGTTCGTCGGCATGGCAGCCACGTACCTGGGCGCCCCAATCTTGCACGTCGCCGGGCATGGGGTAAGGCTCGCACCGATCAGCCGGGCTCGTTGCACGTTCCTGGAGTTCAAGCCTTTGATAAGACATGCTTTGGACTCGTTGTCGCCTATCCCCGTGCATTACATGACGCCACTTTCTTGTCCATTGGGGTAGAGCCGCCTGGGTTCTCTGTGGCATGGTTACTTATTGTTCTTCAAGCATTAACCCGGTCTTTTGCACGCCTGCAGGTGTCGTCCTCGAGTATCTGGCAGCGGGAGTCGTACTGGAAGACGAAGAGCTCGACGTGAGTCTCGACTCGAACAGTTGTCGCTACAAATCTACTCTGCAGTGACAAAGTTGAACTTCTCGGCTGACCTGGAGCCCGTGCAACTGCATCTTGCTTACAGCAATGCGTCGAAAGCGCCGAGTCGCATGATCTGCACAACTCTGAGGCCGTAAATAGCGACGGCGTCGCCAGAGAAAGCACAGCTGTTTGACTGAAGGCTTGGTTAGGATGTGTGCTACGTTCGCAAGGACATTCATATTCTCGATCGCTGATCTTCTTCGTAGCATCTCGAAAGGAGGCACCTGGATCAGATGCCACAACCGACGTCCTCCTCCTCGTATTGCTAAGTCTCCTTGTGCAGAACGAGCGCTACACCCAGTAGGACTCCGCTTCGCCCTGACGCTTTTCCTGTGCCTTTTCTGTTCGCCAGCGGGAGCTTCCCCCTGTACCTGCCGCGCACCGGCAGCTCCAGCGCCAGCCGCAGCGGCTCCCTGTACAGCAGCCTCACCGGCCCCTCCGACAAGAAGCCCGCGCCCCCTCCAGAACCCGCGCCCGCGGGCGAGGCCGCCCTGAGCAAGTCGGCAACGGAGACGCGGGCGGTGAGCCAGCTGAAGCAGGGCGTCGCGCTGCTGAAGCGCAGCGTGGCGTGCCTGTGCGCGCAGCAGTGGGCGGCCACCAGCCTGCCCCGCGACGCGGCCACGCGCATGTCGCCCTTCTTCGGGCTGGCCGTCCTCATGTCCGTGCTCGCGCAGGAGAGGGACGCCGGCTGGCTGCCGCGCCCAGAGACGCCCGACCGGTAAGTGGCCTCCGAGCTTTGACATCATCCCCTTGATGTTGCTATGGTAGTAATGATGAGACTAAATCTATACTTGTTTGAAACATTCTCCCACGTCTAGCAGCCGAGTTTTTGCAAGGGGTAGTCTCATGGTGGGGCTGTGATCTGACTGTTAAGCGCTTTTGTTTTGCTAGGGTCGATTATTCAGCACTCTCTTGATCCAGACTTTTCGTATTCTGTGGCAACTCTTCCGGTTGGGCTAAAATCCCCACATCCGTATAAGGTAGAGGGACATGCATCGGGAGAAAGTAAACGGTCGGAGCGCCATGTTTAAGCATCGAATCCCCACGCCTCTTTTGAACAGGGCTGCCGCCGAGTCACCTGCACCAATAGACGGGACTGCCTCGTGGGCACAAGCCTCGTTTACTCGACAAGCCGGATTTGCGATGGCCGAGTCTGTAACGGCAGCCAAGGCCGCAGCGATGGCGGCTCCTCGTCGACAGTCAGCGGACGGAGACATCCGCCATGTCAAGTCCACAGAAGGGCGGTCAAGTCGCAGGTCACGTCGAGCATCAGAAGCAGGCGTAATAAAAGATGCCGACTTGGAGGGCTGGGATATCGTGGACCGACCCGGAGATATACTGCCGCCGCCACCTTCTGAGCCGGATAACATTGCCCATTGGACACGGGCAATGTTCCTGGATGCTCGAAAGTGACTAACTTCACGATTGTAAGGGCCTATCAAGGCTTACCATCAAGGGCATGACAAAGTTGGCTTTGGATTCAGCGGATGTCTCCTTATGTGAACACTGAATCAGTCGATGGCTGCAAACATGCCATCCTTTGATCTTAACATGCACCATGTGCATCATTGGCACATGTGGACCGTAGAATGGATATATAGGATACCGGTCATGTGCATATATATGTCGTGCCGCTGGATTCATTAATGCGATGCCCTTGATGCATGGTCATTGTCGTCATCATCATCATGTTCACTCCGACGAATCAGTTGCAATGCAGAACATGCGCAGATCAGTACGAGCAGATGTGCGCGCGCGCCATGGCCCCGAATTCAGGGCAACTTTTTATATACGTGTCACCATATGCAAAGTTTGATTGGACAGATCCTTGGCGGCAATTTAATTAACCAGCTAGACATATGTGCGTTGGCCCACCGGCCGCGGCCGGAGCCACCGAGTTCGCGCGGGCCATACATGCTGTTCTTAACTGCACATGAATGATCAATTTCTGCGGTCTACATTCGGCTTCCAAGATCTGCGCCCGCTAAATTGTCGTGATTCTAGTTCCGACGAGCTGCTGATCGGTAGTCCCGAAACCTCATGCTAGCTGGCACGACTTGCCAAACGAACATTGATGCGCTAGGTTTGGACTAATGTAGCAAACATGTATAATCTCGGTAGGATAGAGAGGCGTTCGAAACTCTAAACAGTGATCCATACGTATGCCATGGAAGCCTATGGTCCATGTGACTACGGCGTTTTCAAATAAGAACATCAAGAGCTGCACAAGCCCACGTATGGCGACAAAGGTGTGCAGCATACTGCTGCCGGCAGATGCGGGCTGAGCTCTGGTACTGTATGGCAGATTTTGACGACAGCAACATCATTGCAGCAATACTGCATATGGGCAGCCGTCGTCGATCCTGGCTGATGCATACTTCCAAGTGTTCACTGATGCTTGTTTAACAATGGACCCCTTGACACAGACGGTGAGAGAGGATTGTGCAAGCGTCACTTCTCCTCTAAAATGAAAGCAGATCTAAACCAATCATATGTGCGCTTCTTGAGCAAGATGTTGCGCCAAGAGACCAGATCAGGAAACCGAAGCACCTGTTATTGAGTCCGCAGACTGATGCTATCGGGCTGCAGTTTCTGTGAGCATTGCGGCTTTCTAGCTACCAGTCGACTTCCATGTAAAGTCGTCCACTGTTGAGTACAGGTGCCCTTCATTGACGAGGAAGTCGACCGTTTGCCTGCAGGAGGAAGGAAAGCGTCGGACTTAGAGTCACGCATAACCTCACGGAGCCTTTTGATATGGTTTAGCACTGTCCACCGGTGAAGAAGCAGGGAAAAGCTACGGCAATAGGATCCTGAAATAGAGAATGCTAAGCATCGTAGCAAAGCAGCGTAGCTTCAACATACTTACTTAATCTGCTCCTGCGGATACTGGTTGTTCAGCCTTTGCACCACCTGCTTCAAGCTCACGCCCGTCTCCGAACTCCTGCAGCAAGAGGGCCAGGTATTGTAAATCAAGGTCCCAACTACACCACTTTACGCACGACAGCATGAACCTGTCAAGGACAGTTCTGACTTTCGCTAGTGAACCACTTCAAGGAAGAAGTTGATTGTATTCGCATGTCCACCACCTTGCATGCTGTCGTCGCTGAACGGTTTCCTTGCTTCTCTTCCCGAGTTGACACACCCGAAACCCCTCGAAAGCAAGCCAACACCCCAGAAGAAGCAGAAACTTTCAGGATCATACTTCAGATTAAACGTTCTCAAGAGGTCAGCGGCTGTCTTTGGTTTTTCAGGATAGATCTGCTCTGTACTTTTCTTTCCATCCTCGACGTTGCTAACAGCTCCTCATTCTCAAGCAAGAGAAACGTAGCATAAGATTGGCAAGAGAAGGGAGTGCTCACAGGGCCGCGGGCTCATGGAAAATCTGCAGAATGACTTCCTGCAGGGGCGAGCCTCCGCCAGCTGTAGAGGTTGCCTGGGGAGGTGCATACTGCATACATGTCCAGGCAAACTAGATATTAATTGCCAAAAAATGTTATGGGTACGCAAGAAGCAGACACGCACAGACGCTCACAATGAATGCTGCAATCAAGTCGAATCAATCACACGTACGATGCCGCAATGCCCGCAACACATCTTTCGTGCTAGCGGCACACGACCTGTCAAGCATCCTACGGTTGCGCATCTTGCCCGAGCGCGCCGTCATGCATTTCTTACCTGACTGGGCACGGAGGCTTGAGGTGCACCAAATGAGGGCTGTGCAGGGATTTGGTGAGCGATACTTCCCGCACCCTGGTAAGATAACATAGAATAGAAATGTCAAAAGAAGGCCACCTAAGCTGAATCATAAGTCGCTCTTGATCTGCTGCTGATGGAAACACAAATTTTAAACCAATGTTCATGTTTTCTCAAAAGAAAAGGCGTGTTGCAGGAGCCCAGAAGAAGGCTGACACATTGGTGATGCAACCAACAAACAATGACCTCGTGAACAGATTAGCACCTCGTGGACGAGGAAATCTGTAAGCCTTCATCGGCTCAGATATTTTTTGTCCAGTTTGCTTACCTGCCCCTTTGTGTTGTGAAGATGGACCAGGATAGTCTCCAAACCATGGAATGTCACCTCATTCATATCCTTGACCGGCCTGCAGATGGCACCACATATCAGTTCCAGACATGGACTTTGCTGTAGGAGGGCTAACTTGCAGGGTGGTCCAGGGCGATGTACCGGAATGAAGACAGAAAGATGACGCTTGTTTATCGAGCAAACGGGGATTCAGTTGCTATAATATGGACCCTGGATTGTCTTAAAGGTCAACAACAAGCACTGCTTCACACTCCAGCAACGCAACTTGCAAGGAAACCGAGACTGAAATCATATTTACCTCATAGAGAAGGCGACCACTTGTAGCTTGCCATTGAAGGCTCGAAGACTGCCATATAATCTGACATACTGTCCCACACTGCATAAACAAGTACAAGTTTGTGAGGAATTCATGAAGATTTGACTCTCTCTGACCTAACGGTGACCAGTATTGCCATTGAGTCTGCAAACCCAAAGTTTGAGCTTGCACTACAGCCTTTTGAATGGATCACTCAGCGAGCTGCTCACCTAACTTCTTCTTTTGGTGGGGGGTCGTCAGCATTGGTCCTGGAAAAGGGCTAATTTGTCAGTATCAAAGCAAGCACCACCTCAATGTCACAATTTCGACGACAATGTGATTCTTTAAGAACACAAAGAAGTGAAGGCCACAGCTTGTTCAACTACCTGAATTCTCATCAATGAGCGCCTTGAGTTGGCAAGTATTAACCTACCATTCAATGACCTCAAGCTTTCCGGTGCTGTCTTCGACCACGTTCAGGATATTCAGTTGGGTCGTCTTTCTTTCAAGGAGTTTGCCAACAAGCGTGACCTGCAAAATCATGGGGTCCCCTCAGAAAAACATCGTTTTCACCAACTTGACAGTCCACAACTTGCAAAATCTGGCGGAAAGCCTTTCAGTACTGATGCTTTTATGACACCAGTGAAGTCTCAAATCCCACGCTGACAAATAGCAGCCTTTGATGGTTCATTGAACCACACAGAAAGGACCGTTAAGGAACATATATGCCAAGCTTGACAGCAGACATCAATAAGAAACTCTCAAGCTCTATGCTGCCAACGTCTTATCTGCTCACATGGTAGAGACCCTGGCCATCGAGTTGAAATGGTTCTTCGCCATTCGTTGCCTTTGCAGCGTTCTCAAGTTGCTTCACAGTGACCGGTACAATATTCTGATTTTGCGTGCCTCCCCGCTGCAGATTATCGTAGGTCAAGTGTCAAACATGTTCAAAAAGTACCAACTTGATTCGAAGATCAGCTTGTCAACAATTGCAATTCAAAGATCAGTGACAGTCGGCAAAAGATATCTGCAGAAATATGCGACACGTAAATACTTGCACCAAATTTTGTCGACTGCACTTCCATTGTGCAAATTACTCTCCCAAGAAGGCGAAGGTGTGCACTCAGTCTGCGGTGCTTCAAGATTAGTCCGCCTGCTTCTTTTGATTAGACCAAGCAAATCTGCTCACTCTTTGATTTGCCGGCGAATATCCTGAGTTTGCCCCCTCTCCACCTCCGGGTCTCACCGGACTAGGCATAAAACCGCCCCCTGCAAACTGACTCGCACCTCCATCGCCGAACCCGTCGCCACCACCCCCGTACATTGTTATTCGACCAAATTCGAAGGTGCGTCACCTAGTTGCAAAGCGCCGCCTCTGCTCTTGCCAATGGTGCAGACTAAGATCGTTTTTGTAGGACAAGGAAGCTACAATCCTTCTGTGCTTCACGCCAAAGCTTAGAAAAGCTGAAGGCTTCTCAATTGCGCATGCACCTTCTTGAACCGATTTGTCAAACCATTTAGTCTTAGATGGCATTGGCAGTGTTTTGGGAGTACGTATTTTTGGCGGGAAAGACCGTACCTGTATTCAATATTGGAGAGCTACCTTGGAGAGCTAGTAGTACCAGTATGATAGATCTGAGCGTGCCCGCAACCGTGACGTTCATGCCCGGTTCACATGCGTATTCGAAATCCGTGGTTTTGAGCAAAACCGGCGATTTGAAAACTCGCCCTCTGCGACAGGCCGGAGCTACGGTTTTGCGTTCGAAAAGCTGACATCGAAAACTCTCGCCGTCCTCACGGAGGTCGTGGTTTTGGTCCCCCGAGCATAGTGAGTACTTTTACGGCTAAAAAGTGCCCGGAAGGTCAAAACCACGAGTCCAAAACCACCGAAAACCACCTAAACCAGATTTTGAAGCTGCGTATTCGTGGTTTTGAATTTGCGTGGTTTTCGACGGTCTTCGGTCGACTTGCTGGTTTTGAGCATGGTCGGAGCCAGTTTTTTTGTGAATCCTTCAAAGCTGTTCACATGCGTCCCGGAAAGTTAGGGCTGCCACGTGGGACAAAACCGGCAAAACCAAGGCAAATTGGACGCATGTGAACCGGGCATCAGGAAGAACCCCGGCCGGGCTCCAAAGTCCTTCGGAACCGTCCACTAAGGGCAGGCAGTACCCTATCGGGACCTTTCAGCCGTTCGATGGAACGGCCTTCAGGCCTCCGGCCTCCCCTCTTTTGACAGGCCGAGTTTCTGCGGGTCGCAGTCACTGAGCGAACAACTTTGAAACCCACCTGGTTAACCAGCCGTTAACTCTGATTGTGCTCAAGCCGTTCGATTCCAGATTCTCGGAGCGAACTTCGTTGAACGGCTCGAAGTTACTCCAAAGGGGTCGACAAGAAAAGTCACATCATCACATGGTTATGGAAGGTTTAGGGAAGGTTTGAAGGTCGACAACCGCAGTTCAGCAGTTTGCGCTTAGCACCTACGGTAGGAGTTCGAACATACACGACCAACCGGCTGGCACGAGCATTGTGCTAGTATTTCTCACATGGGCATACTGTGGTGTCGTCATTTTTATCGTTCGGCTTTATAAGTTTACCAGCATGCCAGATGGTAAAACCCATAGAATGATAGAACATAACCTCAATGGAATGTAACATGCAGTGCGTGCATGACGTCTCTCAGAGGCATCGATTGATCATTGTTCTCTTTTCAAAACGCCGTACTAGCCACAATACTGTGGGCCATGTAGGCTTCCATGGCACGTACATGGGGATCAATGGTTGAGTTCCAAACCCGTTCCAAACGCCTAACTGATTGCTTGCATTACTAGATATCTATGTTGGTTGTTGCTGGTTGTTGCGAATTCAATTCGGTTCCTCAGAATCATTGGCGAGCAAAGAAAAAAAAGAACGGATGTAGGTATCATGCACATTTGTGGTTTCAGACCCGATGAGAAAACCAACAATTACTCATCTAGAAAGGAGATCATTGCAGGAGGTAAACCAGTTATTAAGGACCAAGGAAGTCTTTCCTCGGGCAAATCTTTCTGTTGGTAGCCGCCAATGGGCCGCCAATTAGACGAACGGGCATAGCTTTATGTTGATAAGATTAAGCGGCCAACCATCAACCAATCCAAGCAACATTTGCTATGGCTGCAAAATTGTCTTCTTTACTTTTGTGGAATTTTCTCCGATACACTTATAATTGCCACTTGAACTTTCCAGCTCGAATGCACGTTGCGCATGTCTTACAAACACAAATGGATGAGGATTAGGCTTTATAATTTAATCTATGGATATAATAGAGTCAAAATGCAAGTTTGACAAAGAGTACCACTCTGTACTCGGAGTCACAACTTCCAGCACCAGGTGACTATCAGAATTTTGAGTTTATCCTCTCCTTGAACGAGCGCAAAAGAGCAGCAATTGTGAGAGGGTAAACCTAACCCAGGTGTTAGAATAATCTATACAAACTCAAAGTGTCTTACTAACTTCCAATGGACTTTACCAAGTTGCAGAAGAAGATAGCCAGGTTTGGTAACAAAATACCCTAGAGGATAATACTCATTAAAGCGTTACGGACCTGCTTTGACATAGAGATTAGAAGGCTTGAATGAGAATGATAGCTGGAACTGCAATCAGAGCAATGATGGCAATGGTCACAGGCATATGCCTGCCACGGGTAAAAGTACTGCCAACATCGCCAGCGGCGGTGGAGTGCTGGTATGCAATCCATATGCTGCAAGCCAACAACAAACACACGTTAAACCTCCTGAACATTGGATTACGCTGTAAAAATCAATAAAGGGCAATTATGACTAGACTGGATGGATGCCAAGGAACAGCAAGCCAGTCGATTAGTCTCCACTGACTGTTCCAAAGACGAGATCAGAAGAACCCTAAAAATATGAAAGAAAAGTACTTACCCGATGAGCAGGCAGACAATTTGGGCGAAGACACTGGACCTGCATTCAAGAGAGGAGAAGAATCAGCTTGGGTGCACGCAACCAGGAAAGGGAGTCTTTTCGAAATTCTTTCCAGAGGCTAACAAGAATGTTGGCACGTCCCCATCTATATGTCAAATGGTTACTATGATACTTCAAAGATTGCAAACTCTTGACCACCTCAGTTGAGTCGGTACTTGGCAATCTGAGCAAGCTCTTCTTCTTCTTATACTTAGTCGATAAAAAGGGGAAATCAAAACTTAGAGGAATCTAGCAGCGATGCCTTGGATGCTCATGACACCAGGTAAGCCAACCAAGCCAACCAATTCGATTACTTGCCTGAGTCCAACCACATGGCTGGGTGCGGTAACACAAATCAGCAACAGGGCTGCCGGATATTCCAGCTCTCCTGCACATGACAGGGACCGAAAAAGCAGGTAAGTGCTCATGTTCTTTCTCAATAGCCTAGAGCATGACCCCGAACAAATAAGCACAAGTGACAAATCAGAAAAAAAAAAAGCTGCTCAGTTGCTGATGAAGAAAGCAGGATGATAGGTCGGCGCGTTCTGATTGGAAGCTCTCGGAACTTACTTGGAACGTGCTCATGGAAGAACAGGCGAAGGATGACAAGGATGAAGGCCAACCAGTGACCGATCTCTCCCCTGCATAAGCAAGTCAGAGTGGATTTCAGGGCCCCTTCCCCGACGCATCGCGGCAAACATGGTTGTCGTCTCCGACTTGTACAACCTCTTGGATGACATTCGGCAATTTGAATTTGGGTTGCACTCTTTTACCAGGAACAGTCCTAAGCGTTGCTCCTATCCTTTTTTGGAAGTGCATAAAGAAGATAGAAAGAAAGCTTGGACTTCTCCACAGGGCTGCTAAACACAATAGGCGTAACCAAGGGTTTGCTTACCGCAGGAAGCCCATGATTGATCCAGGTAGATTGATGGCAATCACAGGGATCAAAAGAGCCGTCAGGATGTCTGAGCGCCATTCTGTATGCTCCAGTGCAAGCAGAAACCTGTAAATCCACCAGAGTTCTATATAAAATACCAAGACTATCCTTCAGGTGACATTGAGAGACAGCAACCTGCACAATCCCTTATCCTGATATCAATTATGTTGACAGGTCCCGGCGTTAACAATTCATTGACCTCTCAACTTCCCCCTCTTTCAGATGACTCTATGCATGCAGGTTGGGACTTGTCTGATCATACAGGAGCCCAATTGCCGTCTGTCCTGTATTGAAGAATCACAGGAGAAATGCTGCTGATCCTTTCAGCAGCATTGACAGCTTCAGTTCAGCAACACATCAAGCTTTGACTTTTTGACTCTATGCCTGCAAGCAACACATCAAGCTATGACTTTTTGACTCTATTGCCTGGACGCAACACATCAAGCTTTGACATTTTGACTCTATTGCCTGCCACGAGAGTCCGAAAGACCAATCCAAAGAGTTCTGAAGCAGGTGGCCACCAGAGGAAGGGCACCCCTCAAAAACAGCGTTGAAACTAAGAGAGGCTTACGCAGCAGCAATGACCACTATCCACTGGAGGAGCTCCACATTGATGTGCAGGTGCCCCTCAACGTAGTTGGCCACATAATATGGCACCTCAGTCGCGTTCATCTCTGTCAGGAAATTGCCAATTGCGCGGGGCAAGGCAATGCCACCACCGGGGGGATACGCGGTCACCATGCTGAAGAGTAGCGGTTGCTGCGAAGACTCAGGGCGGGTGCCTGCTACTCGCTGTTTCCGAGTTCTTTCAAAGAAAGCGGACACCAAAGGACAAGCTTCTCCTCTCCAAGATGAGTGTGCTGCTCGTGTCGCCTGCGTGTTGCTGGGCCGGTAGCTAACCTCCTGCCGCTAGCTTCCTGCTGCAGGCTGCAGCGCCTGCTGGACCAGTACTGGCACCAGCAGTAGGCCCTGCATGCACTTTTTGGAGCTAGAGATCAATGATGAGGTGGCACCAAACAATAAGAACGTGCCACGTGTATGGATATTGCCAACTGGCACTGCCTGGCCTGCGTTAATGGTTGACTCATAGAAGCACGTGATGGTGTCGGGATGGTAACGGATACATGTAGCCGACGGCGACAATGGCATGCCGCATTCACGATTCAATATCTCCATACGACAAGCTGATACGGTACTATTGCTAATACTACTATCAATGTGATACTGTAGAGCTGGCAAATCCTTCGCCAGCAATGGAGGTGGCAAATGGCGGTTGTTCGAGTTGCTAATTACGCTCTTGAGACCATCATGGCAACTCAACTGCGAATGTACGCCTCTTCAGGATCTCTTTTTTGGCAAAATTCCCCTTCCTCTTTTGCCGGTGGATCCACAGGCCAAATTCGTCGGCCTGTGCGGTGGCTACCACCAGAGTTGCAGGTCCGCATTTGGGGAAGTTGGCATGACTGTGCCTGGGCCGCCAACCAGCTTAGAACCTTCTCGACCTCATTGCTGACCCCTAGCGAATGTTACAGTGATAGGAGCTGGGTCAGTGCCACCATCCGACCAGAATGCAGTTTGACAAAAAGCCATACGCATCTCGCTGGAGGGTGCTTGCATTTGCATGGCCTCCGTCTGTCAGCATTTCCCGCTGTACAAGAGACAAGCGCTGATGTGCGGGGCACAAGACGCAGTTTTCTGTGCAGCGCTCAATCAGATAATGCAGACACTTCAGATCGCCTGCCTGTTGGCTTAGTCCTGCCAAGCGCTGAGCCAGTACGGGAGCCAGTGACGCTGCCGCAAGTAACAGAAGGTGGGTTCACCGCCACCTGCGGAATTTCAGTCGGTGATATGGTCTGCAATTAAGATCACAGTGGGCAGAAGACTCTGGTACTTTTGGCATTTTGGCAATTGGTACAAGCCACCAATCGATTGAAACCTGTGCTGAGCTTACAGTCAGAACACTGCGGCTGCCTACTTTCAAATATTTCCCAGTTGGAAACCGTTAAGACCGTGTCTGACCAACACTGTATGCCGTGTGCCCATACGTGATAAGAAGTGACCTGCAGAAGTCAGTGAGACCGAAGGTGTACGCACTTCAGTATTGGCTGCTGCAACTGAGGATGTCGCCGCTTGTTCAGACTACCACCACCTCAATCTGGCCCTGCAGACATGGTACAGCTCTCATTTGCACGGAGCGGCGGAGCCGGCGGCCAGAATGTCAACAAAGGTGAGCTGGGCTGCTCCACTTGCTAGAAGGAGCTGTTCTGTGCACCACCCCTACAGAGGGGCAGGGGCACCTCCGAATGCTGGCTTGGCCTTCTCCCTGCGCAACGTCACTGCTTTCGAAAACATTCCGACTTTCTACACAAACTGTCCATTTGCCGTTATTGTTGCGTCCAAGGCCTGCAGATGCTTGAATTCGCATCTTAAAGTCCCTCAGTGTATCTGCCCTGACCCTGGGTTGCGCTTGGGTGCCCAGTGAATACGAAGGTGGACATGCGCTTCAACGTGCTGGAGGCGGAGTGGTTGCCGGACTGGGTCAAGGAGAAGCTGCTGGAGATGGAGGCCAATCGGATCAACAACGACGGGGAGCTGGTCGTCACGTCCACACGCACGCGCACACAAAAGTGAGGAGATCTTCAGCACTTGTTGGACGATTGCTGGCCGTCGGCTTTGATTGTACCTTCGAATTTGAAGTGGGCCCCCTAGGAAAGTTCCCTATCTCTAGGTTCTGTGGCTTTTATCTGGTACGACAGGTCTAAATGGATTGGTTCTACTTAAAAGCACTTTGATCATGGACGGTTGGAATGTAAATCTAGGCCTGAGAATGTTCATCTTGGCCAGTGCAGTCTACAACATTGCAGGGGTGACAGTTTGCAGGTCGTGTGTTCATAGGGCCATTTAACGTTGGAAGAAGCTTTTGTGTGAGGGTGGGACGCTTCCCCTTGTCAAATAGCGGCATACAAGCAATAAGGTCCAAAATTTGGTCACAATAAACGGTGTTCGAGTGTCAAAATACCTCGCCGGACTCCTTGGAGCCTCGAGCGCTACCATAAGGTGTTAACAGGTTGCTAGGAATTTTGAATCGGTTCAGTCGATTACTCTGTTGTACGTAAGAAGTCCCTTTTTGACGAGCCAAGAGGCTGCTTTGTAGGGCTGTGACTCAAAAGCAGTTCGCCCGATTCACTGCTCCTCTCCTGTCCTACTCCATGAGCCCCTTTTCTTGATGCCGTCTGCCTTCACATGCTGTTGTCGCTATTTGGCTGATGAGATTGATTGATCCGTCTGCTTCTAGTATTGACACCCGACTCGTCTTCCCGTCCAGGGGTAACATCGAGGACGCTCTTGAAAAACTGAATGTAAGCGCCCGATCGAACTCATATCCGCTTTGTTGTTCCGTCTCCTGCAATGACGTCGAGCTTTCCTTGCGCTCTTGTCCTCCTAGACGCGCCGCCTGACATGTGGACTTCGTGCCCAGAATCTTGGAAGACTAATGTTGAGTCGAATCAGAGGCGTTCATCTTGCTTCAAAGACATGAGTGCGGATTATCGTATCTGGGTCAATCAGGTTCCCATGTTTCTCTTCCGATGCCAACGTTCATCCGATTTGGTCCATGTACTGAAGGCTTCCTGTCTCTTGGAGTGACAGGCCATTCTGCAGAAGGCGTCTTACGTGCCGCCGCCTCCCTCGGCAGACAAGATAAAACGGATAAAGAAGCTGTGAGCATCCCTAACTCAAGCGCAGCGTTCTCGATCTGCTTCCGAGATGTCTGCCCACTTTTCGAGCTTCAGACTTAGCTTCATCCGCCACATCCTGCAACTTGTTTTGTACGAAGTAAGCAGACTTGACCTGCTTTTGGATGCTCCCTACCGTTTTCGGTGTTAATGTGCACCTGCTCGCTCCTGCTGTCCTGTTTTGGACGCAGACGCTGCCCAAGTGTATGCGCCGACATTCAAGTTGGGACCGGTTGGGCCCCCTGACGGCTGCCTTCGTCTGATGCAGGGCAAAGGCTGCAAACGAAAAACGACTAGACATCAAAAAGAAGCAGTCGTCTAAAAAGGCTGATAGGAGAAACAAGGGCAAATGGGACGATTGATTAGTATGTGATTGCGGTTCTTATGTCTATCATCTAGTCAACTCATCGGAAGATCGTATGCATTGAAAGGGGAGCCCACACGAGGGACGGGAAACCGTAACAAGAATACGTTTGCGGACACTGCGGATCGCGTTTAGGAAGGATGTGGTAGCTCCTCAATCTGCAAAGGTTTGCTGGGAAAAAGCGTTGGGCATCGTTAGCTGGACAGAGTGTGAACCGTTGGACATCTCTCGCTACAGCCCATGGGCTGGTAAACAACCCTGCCGAGTTAACCATTGACCGGGACATCAGCTCCGCGTTTGCGCCAGCTGAACATACGGTAGAGTTATCAAATTCGACACTGGGACGTTATTCAAACAGAAGCAGGCTTTTTATGGCTGAACTGCCAGGCTGCGGCGGACAAGAAAAGAATATTGAGTCTACGGTATTGCAATTCGGACGCGGTTCTCGTTTGCGATCCTCGCCACGAAGGCCTAACCAAAGCAGGATGTCAGAACGGTTGGGTAAGTTTGATCCTCCGAGGCTCGGCGCAATCATCGGGTCGGACATCATCTCACTCATTTGTCCGGTGGCGGCCCCCTCAGAAATTCGTGCTCGGGTGCATTTGTCGGACTTTACCGTTGATAGGGGCCGGCGGCAACAGTTCTGGCGAGTGACGGATACTGACCGGATCCTCCAACAATTGCAGGGCCGCATGGACTCGCTACGTGAGTGACGGCGGCTCATGCATCAACGATTTCCATGCGCAGCAGAGATTACCATGATCATTTTGGCGAACAGATTGTCTAGGATGTAAATCAGGTTCGCTCGTGTTCAGCCGATTCTCGCCATGGAGTGCGCGACCGCGCCGGCCGTGATCGGTGTCTTAAATGGGTTTTAATGCTTATATAAGTGCCGTTCGTGTTTTTGCAAGCGTCGGAAGGAGCCGCGGTACGCCTAGCCTGGTGCGTGGCAAGAGTCGTGACTGGCAATTGCGTGGCGCATGTGGCGTATGGTTACATGCATATGTGATGAATCAGACCGCCAGATTTCAGGATAGCTAGAAAGACATTTATCGCATGGGACGCACTGAGGGTCCTGGAACCTGGCGTCTGGCAGCTGGCATTGTGTGCGTTCCGTTTGCTGCATGACGTCACATGCGTCGACCGGCATTTCACATTAAGCCCGCGGCGTCGATCAGTTGGACGTCCATTGTGCAAGTTGGATATAGTATGTGTCTGAAACACGTGTAAGTACACCCCCTACCAGCGTTTATGTGTGCATACGCCGGTGTTACAATTCATTATCTTCGCGGCCTCTGCGACCATGGATGCGCTTGCGCAGTTGACTGAAGGTTCACGAGGCCCTCACATGCGAGAATCCCTCGGAAACACCAGAAGGATTCCTGGGCCTCCCAGACTCATTAGATGACTTCAGCACCTGGTGGTCTATTTCCGGGGTCCTCCTGCGCTCCTTCAGCGTGAGTTTGGCCCTGTTCGGCAAGTTCGGCTTTCGCAAAGATTGCTTCGACTTTTCTTCGTTTCTCGGCATCCTCCGTTATGGTCTTCCTGCCCGTTTGTTTTCTGCGGTCTAGCTCCGTCCCATTCCGCATAGGCAGCCCGCTCTTCGCGGCAAGCCCTTTCACTCGTGCTTTATCAGGTACCCCAAACGCAAACAACACCCGGTCGCGCTCCACATCCGTCGAAAGACCTTCGCGCTCGCTCACTTCAGCCCCAGGCTCTTTCTGGCGGTCGGCTCGATGGCCTGCTGCTTTAGTGACGACTGACTGCGGCACGACCTCGTCTGCTAACTCTGGTAGCTGTGCGTTGGTTTCCCGAAGAGCCGGTTCGAAGGCCTCGAAAACCGAGGGCGCTGCGTGATCCTCCGCTAGCACCTGCAACTTTTGCAGGCAAGGGTGAGTAGCCACTCTAGTTTGTCAAACAACAGGCGTCAGTCTTCTCGTCTTCCGTTTTACGGAATCTTGCAAGCGTCCAGGATGTTTGGCTTGAGCAAATCCTCAACTCGTGCACGTGCCCATAAAGAACTGAGCTCCAAATTGGAATCCAGGGGAAGCAACCCGATTGGCCTCGCAAAAGCCTGTTAATTCTGCTCGAGCAAGACGACCCTCGGTTGTTCAAGAGCAAACAGATGAGTAAAACGACCTCGACCCCGCCCACGACAATGGAATCGCTGCCAACCCTTTTCCAGCACGCCTTATTGTTTTAGACAGGTGATACCCGGCCCCCCTCTGCTTTAGTCATCCTGGGCATCTGGACGTCGCTTTTCTTGTTCTTAAGCCAACCCTCTGCACGGACTCGGAGTCTGCAAATCTCGAAAGTGAAACCCAGCGCGGCCATTGCAAAGTGTTCCATAAGAAGAGAGTGTAGCCAGCGCTCACTGGTCTCGAGACTTCGGCAGCGGGACGCGGGCGCGCCAGGAACGGGTTGGCTGCAGCCGCTGCTGCTGCCCTCTTGCTCCCCACGCGGCTGCCCTCCCCACTCAGCACGGCCGCCTGCTCGTCCCCCTGCACCGCCAGGCTGCCCCACGGCTCCGCCTTGGCAGACCGGGGGGGACTGGCTGCCGCCACTGCAAGAACGTGGCTGAATCTGAGCAGATAGAAATCATTCGACGATAAAGATGTCTGTTCTGTCGGGGATCAGACGTGGTGGCACGAATGCCCAAGGACGGCAGTGAAAAAAGCAAACCTTCAACTTCCTGCCGGGTTCAGAAACTAAGGGAAAAAAAGCCTTTAAAGACAAAGCAGTATCTTGTTGGTGGACTTGCGGCGTCTTGAGCATGACTAGAATCGGCTCTGAAAATGTTGAGTCATGTCGGACTCTTGATTACCTTTATGGTCCCGTGATAACTTACTGTGACTGCTTTTGGAAGCAGACGGAAGAGCTCATTTTGTAACTAAAGTAGAGACTCACCTTCCTCCTGCGTCCGCTTGTGCAGCGACATGAGCGACTTTTGCGCTTGCCGCCGCTCCTTCCCCAGCTTCAGCTTGTCCTGGCGGGGGTCTGCTGGCCGGGCGTTGAAAGCAGGGGTGGCGACATAGGTGTGCTGGTCCGGCAAGGGGGGGAGCCAGTCAGGGATGTGCGCCTGCGGGGGTGCTTCCCCCTGGTCGCGGAAGGTGGGGGTGGCGTGACGCGGCCGCTTGCGGATGGGGAAGGAAGGCAGGGCGCGAGGAAAGGGCGTCTCTTCGGCTTCATCAGTGTACAGCATCAGGTCGTCCGACTGCGCAGACACAGTATCAGTACAGGGCAGTTCGGAGCAGTATCAGCAGTTGTCGGGCGGTCAAAGATTGTGAGAGGACCACGCAACCTTTGTATCTGGAAAGAAGAAGAACGATTGACGAACACACTGCTTTCTAACTTCTTGCCCAAAGGTCTATGACTAGGATAAAGTACTTTGTCTATTGAGTCATCTAACAGCCCTGCAATGAAGTTACGCTCTGCTTGGGTCCTTCACAAAACTGCCAAAGCAAGATCCTTTCAAACCCTTTTTCCATTGCTCCAATGGTGGTACTAAGTAAAGGTCAATTCTCAATTACTTCATAATTGTGCCACTTCCCCAGAACAATGTGAGTACTCCAAAATGTTAGAAGAGACTGTCATGTCACAACGATTCCTGCTACGCCAGAATGCTGAATGAAGAGTCGGCGAAGTCCTAATGTCTAAAGCAGCACGCTTGAGATTGAGGAAGAAAACAGTGCAATTCAGCTGAATCAAGTTCTATTCCTGGACAATCCGCAGCCTTTCTTACCGAAGTTCCAAGGTCCTCCAGCGCAAGCAAGACATCGTTCAGGTTGCTCTCGAAGCGTCCCGCCAGCTCCGCATAGTTGTGGGATGCTCTTCCAATCTCCGAGATGTAGCGCAGCATGATGTCTGACAGCGTGTCTGCTGCCGAACCCTGGATACCCTCAAACGACATGCTCTCACAGATCTTGGTCACCACTACTCGAGCGACCGCCCGCGCAAAGGGGTCCGCCATTCTTGTGGCAAAGGGTGTGCTGCTGCCAGAAATCTATGCAGCAGAAGAGGTTGCCTGACCTAGAATGAGCTGTCGTGCATAAGTGCATCAACCACCCGTCATGATGGGGCTAATAGTGAAGAGAAGCTCTACGCACCACCATTGATTAAAGTGGCGCCCCACTACCTACTCGGTCTACTGCCACTGGCAGTAAGTTAGACTACTACCGCTTCACGAATTCTAGCTGTGCTTTCTTCTGGGCTTCCAGCAGGGCAGTCTGA